ACGTACGGAGCATCTGTTTTAGAGTTCCATTAAATCGTTTGCAGAAACCATTTGACTGCAGGTGGTATGCGCCACCGCTTCTGGGTATCTAGTGGCATAGTCCACCACGCTCAAGATGTATTCTTGCCGGAAGGACTAGGTCTAGCTAAGGACCCAACAAGGTCTACGCCACCCTGGTGAAGGGTTCTTCAATAATGTGAAGGGGGTGGAGTTTTGCCCTGTGGCAGTCTCCCCTCTAACATGTGTCACAGCTCTGACAATACTGGCAAATATAGTCAGGCTGACTCCTAGGTGTCCGGATAGCGGAATATCATGTGCAATCCGTGGTAACTCCTGTCTATACTTCTGGGGGATTACTGTTTCATGGGGGTCGATATGGACCCAGTCACTATCCTCTCGGAGTTCCTGTAGAGTAATTCCTTGTCCCAGGAGGATCCCTCCCCTCACGGTGCTGCCGGATGGTCACAAAACCATAAGTTAGTTTGCCCAAGTTGTTTCCGATGAGCACGTCTGCGGGTAGTTCCTGCATCAGCACCACTTCCACAACTCCTAACCCCACACCCCAATTCAAAAGGACCTTCAGTACGGCTCCCCCTGCCACCCATAATGGCAAAGATTCTCCAGTATGGGCTGTGTCTGGAACCAGGTGGCGCTTTATTAGTGTTGAAGTTGCACCCGTGTCTCAGAGTCCGTGAAAACCTCCTCCCCGACATACCGTTTGCCTGTGGTGCTGTCGGTTGTCGGACGCAGCATGGATTGGGTCGACTTCGTGCAAGACACCCAGTTGTTCCTCAGTGAAGTCAGGGGCTGAATCGCAGGTAATGGTCTCTGTTTGATGGTGATGGGCCGCTGCTCTGTTTACAGGTGTTGGCCAGGACGAACCCATGCTTTGCGGTTCCGGGGGCATTCCCTCTGTACGTTTCCCAATTGTTGGCACTGCTGACACCTAATATTGGAACGAGGTTAAAACCTAGGCGCTGTGGGGTTAAACACATTCCCATGATGCCATGGGGCTGATGCAGGTGGTGCTTGTGTATATACAGCAGGTCTGGAAAATAAGCAATGGTGGTGGTGCCTGTCTTTGTAGTGTTCATCTGCCAGGGTAAGGGGGGTTATGGTCCCTTACCCACTCATGTACTCCTGGTACTAGCCTGTGTGGCGAAAAAACTTCCCTGTAAGAGATGTGTACCCAACAATGCAATCTCAGCAAGTTTATAGTAAGTGTATAAATGTTTATTACATACTTTCCAAACATTTACTTGCTTTATTTTGGCTTTATTATTATTTAAGTGTTTTCTTGCTGGTTAAAAAAAAACTAAATGTGAAAGGAATGACTTAAGAAGTAAAGAGTCAGCATCATGGATTCACCAGCCTGTCCGCCTTAACAAATCATAAATAACATTCAATCATGAAGAAAAATAGCTGAATAAATATTCTGTCCAGTACCCTATCTGGTCACGGCCCACAACATCCACTACACCTGTGTCCTGGGTGTACAGGAGACCTCTACTATAGGTTTTATTACTGCACATCCTCTAGTTCAGTGGTTCCCAAACCAGTCCTCATGGCCCACCAACAGTCCAGGATTTATGTATTTCCCTGTTTTATTCCAATGGAGATACTAACAAAACCTGGACTGTTGGTGGGTCTCGAGGACTGGTTTGGGAAACGCTGCTCTAGTTTATTTAGATTTATCACTAGGTAAATGAACTGCTTTTATTAATTAGCATGGACTAGAGCGACACCTAGTGGTCTATAAAGCTAAGTTTGTTTGGGTGAGGTTTTCCAGGAAAAGGAGGGAAATTCTTAACTGAAGAAATGTGGATAGACTACTAAATGCTCTCCAATAGGAGCTCTTCTCAATCTCCACAATTTTTCCAGCAATAATATTCAATAAAAATAAATTATATATAAATATATATAATAAACAAATTTAAACCTCTTTAGTTTAGAAAAAACATCACCTGAGAGGGGATATGATATTATACAAATATATTTGGGGCCAATACAAACCATTGTGTGGAAATCTATTCACAAACCGGACTTTACATAGGACACGAGGTCATGCATTTAGATTGGAAGAAAGAAGATTTTGACTAAGACAAAGGAAAGGTTTTTTTTTTATTGTAAGAACAATAAGGATGTGGAATTCTCTGCCTGAGGAAGTGGTTTTATCAGAGTCCATACAGATGTTCAAACAGCAACTAGATGCATAATTGCAAAAACAGAATATTCAAGGATATAATTTTTCAACGTAGGGTAATACCTTCTTGATCCAAGGATAAATCTGACTGCCATTCTGGGGTCAAGAAGGAATTTTTTTCCTAGTTTGATGCAAAATTGGAAGTGCTTCAAACTGGGCTTTTTTTTGCCTTCTTTTGGATCAACAGCAAAAAACAAATGTGAGGAAGGCTGAACTTGATGGACGCCAAGTCTCTCTTCAGCTATGTAATATATATATATATATATATATATATATATATATATATATATATATATATATATTCATATTCCTATTCCTTTAATTTCTCTTTTTTTTATATCTTACTAAATAGCCACTTTGTTAAAACTCACTATTGATTATTTATATAGCGCAAACAAATTCAAAGTGAGTTTGCCACGAGCTCCTGGAGGAGCCTGCTTGCCAGCCTCCTGCCCACAGACTATGGGCCCTGCAGGGAAGCCTGTAAAAGACTACCAAACTTGACTGACTGTTAGCACAGATTTCCCTGGAATTGTTTTGGGCATGGGACCATGTGCACAGTGGGGCAAAAATAAGACTTCCAGGAAATTCCTGAACCGCTGATCTGATCTGGGTGATTTTTGGATATGTTGTTCACCCAGATCAGGGCTATGTGACAGGGGATGTGACTTTTATGGGGATATGTTGTATTTTGGGGTACTTATTGGACTTTGTAAAATTAGTTTTTTTCTGCCTGACAATAACTTAATTATTGCATTATCTACCTTAATTGTATCACAGGCAGAGGGGAGGGATTGTGTACTGTATGTGGGAGTGTCGTTCATTGTTGCATTGTTTTGATTGGCTTGTATACTTTGTGTACTGGGAAAGTCCTTGTAAGGACTAGAGCTAATTCCCCATTCGGCTCAAGGAAAGAGTGGTTCCAAGGCCCCAGTCAAGCCACGCTGACTGTGGGCAGAAGTGCTGCGGTTTGTCCCCCTGTTCCTGCTACGCCCTTTGGACTAGGAGAGGTCTACCCACTGGAAGTTGGATCCTGGTCTTGGGTCCAGGGCGGGTGGAGGACGGGAAGATCCCAATCAAGCTGCTGTGGTTCGTGGGGTCTACGGTGGTTATGGTGTTACAGTGCAGTGATTATGGTACTTGCAAGTACAAGGAAGCAGCGATAGACAGAGGTACCCGGTCGGGGTGCCAGGCGGTTCGTTACAGCAGCACTGTACAATGCGTGGACTAACAAACATGTAACCAGACAAGTTGGACGCACAGGAACAGAGGGATTGAGGACCCTGCTCAAGTGAGATTACATGTTAGAGGGAGTGGGGTATAGTGACACAAAGTGTAAGGGTAGGAGTAGAAAAGTCGATTGGTAGAATAGTATTCAATCTTTGCTGTCATAGACTAGAGGTCGCTATACCAATATTTAATGATCATTAACTAACTTTTATGGCTATATAATTCCAGTGCTTACTTTCGTCCGTATTTGGCTCACAATGTGCTTTTAGGAACTTTTTGAAAATGTTTTCATTCAAATATGATTTAATCACCACCACATTATTCATTTTGGTCAGCATGTTTCCGCACTCTAGTCAGACTGCGGAGTGACGAAATGCGTTGGGCAAAGCTTGCAGGGACATTTTGACACATACTTCCACTCTGCATTTACGTGACTGGTGCCCTGCATGGTCAGTATTTTAATGTTTTTACTAAGCGGTTTCTCACACGAAATGCAATCCACGCCATGTTTTTTTTTTATTATAGAAGGCCCTCTCTGTATGAGCAAGTTTGTGAGTGCAACATTTAGAATACATCATATCCCAGAGGAAGGCAACCTTCGGCACTCTGGATACGGTATAGTACATCTCCTATAATGATCCTACAGCCATAATTCTGGGGAGATGTTGTAACGGAGCTCCTTGTACTCCGACTGAGTACCCTCCGTTGACGGATGCTCCTAGCGCTTCCTGAGGACTCCAAGCGCTGCAGCAGACACCACAACCACCGCAGACTCCGCAACCGCCGTATCTGGACTGGAGTCTCGCCGTCTTCCTTCCACCCTGGATCAGCTTCTGTCCTCAAGGACTGTGTGGGAAAGAACTCTTCCTTCCACCCTGTATGAACCTCCAGCATCCAGGACTGTGTGGTAAAGACCCCTCCTCCAAGGAGAGCGTGTCAGGAACAAGCTCTTAAAAGAGCTAAGTGACTCAAGCTCAGGGGAGCATGCAGAGTATAGCAATCCCCAGTGTGATTATAACAGCTCCCTCCAATAACAAGACAAGGCTACGTTTAGAGGGATCAAGAAGAACTGTCAAAACCTTTATTTCCCCTGGGACCAGCCAATAGGGTCACCACAATAACATTGTTGTGAAACCTCAATAAAATCACAAACAGTCAAACCATATTAAGCAACACACAGTGACTTATCACAACACAATGGCACATTTTTAAAGGGGTGGGGAGAGACAATATTTAACAGTAAATATCTCACCTGCCTGCAGAATTAACAATATGCAAATCTACCCGAATATGCAAATAAACCAGTCTTGCAATTCAGGTAGTGCATATTGCTGTTGCTACCAACAGAGGGCACTAGACAAGCTCCATAGCCAAACCCACCTAGTTGGTAGCAAACCTCAGCAATACAAGAGAGCAGGCAATGCATTACACAGTACACACACACACACTATAAACAATTACATTACACACACCCTGCACCTATAATGGGTACAGGGTGACTAAAACATAAGATAAATAAAGCAGCCTACATAAACAGTCTGTCTGAAGGTAGACTAGGGGCTTTAAAGCCAGATACATGAAAGAGTCATAGTCACAGGGGAGGAGGCTGGCAAGTAGGCCTCTCCAGGACCAAGTGGCGAAGGGCACTTCGTCACAGATGTAATCCACAACAAGCGGTCATACAGCATTTTTAGGAGGTATTGAACTTGTTTTTGTATTTGCTAGATTGGCTTTATCTTCAATGTTCGGTTTGGCTTCATTACACAATGTATAATTCACTGGAAAATTGTATGAACAAGACATCTATCTGTAACTCTTCTCACCGTGTGAAAAACTGTAAATATCAAAATTCTCCTTAAAAAAAACCAATTTGGTAAAATCCAAGATGTCGATACATTTGGTCTTATATTCCTCCTTAATTTGTACCCATACAGGATCTAGTGACTCCAAAGCAGAGATCACAAATAATACACGGAAAACAGATTCCCATCATAGCCTGGGTTGGTCCGTGCCCTAAAACGAACAGTACTGAATATCACAAAATTCTAAAAATAAAATAAAAAGATTTTAAATACAGAGTGCGAGCCGGCATTCAAACTCTCCTTACTCTATTAGACCTTATTTAATAAAAAATTTAAAATTCTACACACATTTCAGGAATGAAAAAACGGTCATATGTCACCCAATCTTTCTCCTTGTCCACATCTCAGTGGACTAAAGGTCTCCCCGTCATAACATTACATCTGCAAACCCACCAGGTACGACGTGCAGTGGGGCCCTAGCTGACATACATAGGATCCTGTGTGACTGACCAGTTCACAGTAATCACTTATACCAGGTGTTGACTCTGTATCGAACAATAAGCAATCGCTCTAAATCGGATACGGGAAGAGGTTACTTATAAATAGGGTGATAATTTTGGCGTTGTCTTCCTATAACAAACATACAACCTGCTTAGAATAGAGAAATACTTTATTGAAACAATGTGAAAAGGTTTACAGGATTCTACAAAAAAAATAAAGATAGATGAAATAGCGCAGCAAATAATTTAAAGCACTTTGTACAAAAGGCTGCAAATCTGCTTAAGAAATCATTTGGTCTCGCAAAAAAAATAAAAATAAAATCACAAATTCCTCCCCTCTCCTCCAAATGAATTTTAAATTGCCCTCCTGTCAGCCAAGAGCTCTTCTCGCTCGGATATTCAACATACTATGCTCTCACATACTGATAATGCCGTATAATAGTTTCTTACCATGATCCAGTCCATGAAGCAAATATGCTGAATTCTGGTATGTGCTACAAAAATATACTAAAATTTGCTCGTGTGCAAATTACTTAATTACTTTTTTGTGCAAAATTGAAAGCTTTTGGTAAATTTAAGGCACTTTGGATTCAAAGTGATTGAGGCAATGGCATGATTATACATTTTTGGTACAAAAAGTTTTACAATTTAAATTGCATTAATAAGGAACAAGAGTAAGGGCAGGCATTAAAAAACCCACGGCGAAACGCGTTGTCCATTCTATTCAGATTGTTTACAGAATATGGCACAGGCTTGCATCAGGGACTAATCTTTTGCCACTGAAAGACCAATACCTTCTAATACATTCTCTATTAACAAGACTATAGAGAGATCTGCTTTTAGAATAGATAGTGTTGTGAAATGAGAGAGGCAGTATTCAATCAACACTTCAATTTGAGCAGTGTGTAAACGTGGGATAGATGGAGGTAAGTAACCAGTCCTAGGGTGACTTCTAGTTGTCATATTACATTGATGTACCACAGTAATTAATGCCCCAGGCGTGTCCATGCCATGTTGCGATTAACATGTTATGTTGGCCCTCAGTGGAAATGTCCCTGACTCCAGAATCTAACGGATGAGCTGGGATAGGCGTGCATTCTCCACCTTGCAGTGTCCGACCAGTTTGGGGAGGAGGGAAAATGAGTTCCACAGGATCAAGGATCTACAAACGAGACCATGATATAGCGGGTTCCACTAGTGGTAGGGAGACCCTCGTGGTAATGGGTGAGGCGGCCCGGGTGGATAAAGGTCCAGCCTTTGCGGGGAGCTTCCGCTCTGCATTTGTATCGGATGAAGTGGCAGCCACCTCCCTGAGAGAGAGAGAGAGAGAGAGAGAAGGGATAATGGGTGATCTTTATGTATATGTCAGAGATATAGATATATCTATCTCTCTATCTACATGGTATGGTGTGATAGCGCACACCATGCAATAAGGACAGAGAAAAGAAAATCTTACCTCGAAGTCCACCCCTTTGCTGTTGAGGGCGATGTTGATCGTGAATGTGGAGGAGTCGTGATGGGGACGAAGAGAGGGCTGCTCATCCGGTCTGTAACGCACTATGAAGTTTAGGAGGGCTTTGGCCTAATACAAAACAACAATCAAGAAGGAGACTGTAATGCACAGGGGTATCTTGACACCTAGTATCACTGAAAGCAATTTGTCCCATTCCAATCATTTCAGGACCATATTGGTGTAATTAGAGAATAAACTCCAGAAAGAGTGCGAGAACACATTTTCACAAAAATACACACACTGTAAACGTAGGGTGGACCGGATCCTGAAAATATCAATGTTCAATAGATCAGCCTAGTGACTCAGCATGCACAAGAAGGCACAGAATTCACCTGCCACCCTAACCTCCATCAGATGTGATCAACTGTAGCACTCGGCAAGTTTGTAGACCACTTTAATGCAGTCCACACACCCTCTGCATGGTTTTATCACGTCTTAGGGCCTTCAAACGCAAAACACTACACAAACCATGTTCTTTAAAAGGCTTGAATTTTCTCTGTCTTCCTCTCCAATTATCTTATGCTTGGCCCAGTTATCTTTTCTTTCATGTGACAGTATTCTGTATAAATATATATCTATGGATAATCACTGCATCCTAACCTTTGCGATCAACTAATATAAAATAGAATTGTTTGCTAGCACCTTCACAGCTGCCGAATACCACTTTACATTAGACACACATTAGCAGAGACCCTCGATTACCTTGGTGTAATATCCCGGGAAGAGTTTTTCAGTAACCGGAGCAATATATTCCAATAAGAACTTCAGCCATTCATCCTGGTAACCAATCTGTGTCATGTGAATATCCACCGTGGGAACATTCTCATAGCCCCCCGCTAGACGTTGGTCCTGTAGTAAAAAAAGATTATTAAATATTACCTCCATTAAGCACCATTTAATACCATAGAACTATTTTATTAGCTGCCTCCCCCGACCTCCCGAGCACCGGGACTGCAGAGTTTATCTCCGGCAGTTCCCGCGTGTTTGCTTGCAGCCTCCTGGGACCTTGCGCTATTGCGTGAGACCCCGACGACTGGAGCCTCTGCCCTGCCGACCCAGCTTGCACGACTCCACTGAGCCATGGTCGGCATTTGCTGGGGCCCGCATGCATTTGTGGCGGAGGGGGGGTGCGTGGGTACCTTTGTCACCCCGTATCCCTTCAGCTGGGGGTCCTTCCCCGTGGGAAGTGCGACCCATGGGTCTCCTCTCATAGGACGCAGAGTAAGGCGGGTGCCGGCTCTCAGGCATGAGTAGATTTCTATCTCTGCTAGTTGAGGGGTTTCTGGCAAATAGCTTACTGATTCTATCTCGGCCCCAAGTACCTCACAGCTGTGGGATCATTTCCTGAGATGTCTACCTGTCTTTTCTAGGAAGATAAGAGTTGGGTGATGCCATCAAGGATGTATTTATGAAGTCATAATAACATTAACCCTTCATGGATAAATGTCTATTTATGCTGCAGTACCTTGATAGTCATGAGCCAGCCTAATTTTTTTTCTACTTTTCCTTACCCACATGTAGATCTGTTTTTTTCTGCTTCTCCAGGCACACCGGACTCTTGCCTGCCCCTGTCAGGGTCTACTCATGCAGCCTGTGTGTACTACTCCTTTTGCCTTGGCATGCCTTCCCGGCACGGTATTTCTCTAGTTACCTTTTTTTTTTCTTTATAGCTTTTCTACGTTTTTTCTATCTGTCTGTAGCTGCATCACCTTGTTTATTTCACATTTCCTTTTAGTTTACCTTGTTTCTACTTCCTGTCTGTCATATTTCCTTATGTATATGCTTTCCCTCTATTTCGGTTTTCTATCGCTTATTTTGTTTTGCGTCTTTCCTTCTGCTCGGGATGTCGAGAGGCCATGCCTCTGGCCTCCTCCGACCCCCATTCTCTTGAGGACCGGGGAGAACGTCTCCAGCGCCTCCTCGTGTACCGGTTGCCATCTCGGATCCCGCGCAATTGCGCGAGTTCCCTGCTGCCATATTTAGTTTTATTAGGTTACAGGCTATTGCAATGCAGATACTGAACTCAGTATTGGGGAGTGACTCCCTCATGATCTCAGCCGGATACCGAGATTTACTATGAGTTCATTACTGGAGGATGAGCCCCTCTCCATTACGCAGCCCAACGCTGATATTGACGCTAATTACGTCATTAGAGCGTAAGCCCCTCTCAGATACTTAGCACGACACTGACACTAATGCCATTGTTAGAGGGTGAGCCCCCTCAAACTCAGCTTGAGGCTGATATGGCTACTAATTACATTATTAGAGGGTGCGGCCCTCCTAACCTCAGCTGGATGCAGATATGGTTGCTTATTACATTATTAGAGGGTGCTGCCCTCTTGTGAACTCAACCCACTACTGATATCTATACTAGTTTCTCTATTACAGGGGGAACCCCTCTCATAACTCTGCTTAACGGCGGTACTGTTACTAACTACGATATTAGAGTGTGAACCCCTCTCATGAGATCAGCCGGACGCTGATACAGATACCAGTTACCTTGTTGGAGGGTGAGGCCCTCTCGTATATTCAGCCTGATGCGGACATGGAGACTAATTACATTGGAGGGTGTGGCCCTCTCATAATCACAGCCTGCTGACGATATCGAAGCCAATTTCTCATATGCACAGATCTAGATTTATTTTTTCATTGTTTTCCATCAGTTTACTGCAGTATGGGATACAGATTCCCTTATTGGAGGGCGCGCCATCTCCTACCTATGCTCCACATGGATTTTTATCTTGGTTACTGCCAGCCTTCATTTACCCTACAGGTTCTTACCAGAACAGGATCTGATTGCTTATTAGAGAGTGACCCCTCAGGACCTCGGCCCAATATGGATATTATACTACGTTCTGTGGTTTTACCGCTGATGTTGCCACCCTTACAGTTCATATCGCTACTTTCCTCACCAGAGCCTCTCAGTAATGCTGCCCCATACCAGGTGGGGAGTTGGAAGGAACCCCTACATTCCATCTTTCAGCTCATCTATCTGTTTGAGCTGGCTGGCTCCGTTGCGGCTCCTGTGTAATGACCCGCGTTGCCCTGACCACTATGTCTCCTTGCAGGATTTACCACATGAGGTACTACGGGGGAAACCTCCCAGCAAATTCTCACTTTCCCTGGTACCGTATCGGGCAGATTATGGGCTGTTTGTCTTGGCTGTTACAGTTCCTATGACTGGCCCGCTTTGTCGGTGCCACTGTGCCTCCCTACTGGATGTTTTTACTCTTACTTATTACAGATATATCTATTTTTTACGCTGCGTTGTACTGTGCAGACAATCTCACACTGCTATTATTATTTATGCCATTATGGACGACCCCCTCAAGCAGTTTCTCCTATCAGAGGAAACAGGAGATTCTGACGCCTTTAAAGCGGACATGCACTATCTTGCAAGCAGTACTGGAATGGGGTAGACCCACAACTCCAGAAAGTACATGGTACGCGCGAGGACTGACCGGAGGCCCGGGTCTGTACGGCCTCCTCTAGCCATTTTGGGATGAATGGTGGGGGGGGCCTTAAAAGCCTCCAAAGACGAAGAACGAGTTCAAGAGTCCGTTTAGGATGACTTTTCCTCTGTACACGAATCTCTCACGAAAGCCATCCTGGATTTCTATTCCACTAACCCACCTGATTCAGTTACTGACAATGACAACTGTGTGGAATCGATAGAGAATTTCCGTTTCGATCTGCATTACTTGTGACAACTCAGGTCATTGAAAGCTGGCTCCTGCCCATTGGGGTACTCAGGGATCACAAAACCGGGAAGCGCTTGAAAGATTACGAGCTGTGTACACCAGGCCATCACTATCCGATTTGGGCGTAATGACTCCACAGTTAAATATCAGGATCAACACGGACTTCGCAAGGTTGGGACACAACCTTTCGCTGGGGTATTGATAAAGATCTGAATCTGGCGCAGGTCAAGCTATCCTGCTTCTGGTGGATGAAGCCCCTTTGCAAAACACTCCCCTGGTTTAGTCTGTCATTAGAGAAGAGGCCTGATGTTCTATCGGCATACTAGGCGACTCTGAAATGTTGCGGTGCAATGATCTAAGATGGGTGGTATTCCTTCATATAGATACCAAGATTTCAGACCTTGAGTTCATAGGACTGGTTCCCTTGCCCTAGAGCCTATTCTTGAGAGCAACATTCTTCAGAAATTCGCAACACACGGACCTATATACCTCGCTCAATTATGACCTATCTTGCGGGTGACTTGCGTTCCATCGACCCCTTTGGCAGGGCTGAACAGTAGCGGGGTAGTACATACAGGAATTAGGACAACTCCACCCTCTCCCTATATAGTCTGCAGCCCCATTGGAAGACACCAAAACTCAGACCCTGGCCGACATGGACCAATTCAGTTATTCACTGGACACCAGGGGGTTGCTTCTGCAGCACCATGCTTCTGGTTCGACTGAAGTCAGACTACTTTCATATTCCCTACACTCCTGTGCTATTTACCAACGTTGCTAGACTCTCTGTGGAATGACCGGCCACACCAGGTCCACCTGCCCTTCGGCCAGAACTCGGCCCCTTGTGTTCCACCAAGCGGCTACAACCAGTGACTGCTAGTCTTCGGTTTACAGGTCCCCATTAGCTCAAGGTTTCGGACTTCTTATTGCTCTTCTGAAATGACACCTTTGGACGAAAATCTTGACATCTACTAACGATCGTTGTTTGTATCTCGAGGCTTCACAGTCTGTCAAGGACATCGAGCCTCACCTTGCCCCGCAGGTGGGTTTATTGGGATTCTGTATAGACACGCCCCCCTTAGGAGTTTTTTTGTCTATCTCAATCACAAGTTCCTCTCCTTGCCATTCTGTTTCTCAACCACACATAGATCATGCCTTTCCTACCCTTCAGACATTCTCCCCGGCTACTGACCAAGAGGTGGCTGCTCTTCTCTTTTCTTCTCGCCCCACCACTTGCCCACTCGATCCTGTCCCATCTCACCTTATTAGATCTCTCTCCACTTGACTCGTGCCTTCCTGAACGCACATCTTCAACTGCTCTCTCTCTTCTGGCATTGTCCCTGCTGACCCTAAACATAGGTAGTACCTATACTAAAAAAAAAAAAAAATCCCTCGACCCGTCCATCTCCCTCTAACTATCGTCCCATATCCCTGCTCCCTTTTTCCTCAAAGCTTCTGGAAAAACTTGTCTTTACCCGTGTGTCTCATTTCCTCAATTCCAACTCTCTCCTTGACCCTCTTCAATCTGGCTTCCGTCCCCTCTCCACTCTACTGAGACTGCGCTTATCAAAGTTACTAACGACCTAATCGCAGCTAAATCCAAAGGCCACTATTCCATACTAATTCTTCTTGACCACACTGCGGCCTTTGACACCATTGATCATGCTCTCCTTCTTCAAACTCTTCAATCATTTGGTCTCTGTGTGTGACTCTGTCCTCTCGTGGTTTTCCTCTTATCTCTCCCAATGCTCAATCAGTGTCTCCTTTTCTAATGATACCTCTTCCCCTCGTCCTGTCTCGGTTGGAGTCCCACAAGGCTCTGTCCTTGGTCCCCTTCTATTTTCTCTTTATACTGCCTCTCTTGGCAAACTTATTACCTCTTTTGGATTGCACTACCACCTGTACGCTAATGACACCCAGTTATATCTCTCCTCCCCGGACCTCTCCCCTGCCGTCCTGCAACAGGTCACTGCTTGCCTTTCTTCCATCTCTGACTGGATGTCCTCCCGCTTTCTGAAACTCAATCTCTCTAAAACTGAGCTCCTTGTCTTTCCTCTTCCTAATACTGATCCTCCTCTTTCGCTCTCCCTTCAAGTCTGTGGTACCCACATCAGTCCATCCTTGCAAGCGTGCTGTCTTGGAGTCATACTTGAGTCTTGCCTCACCTTTGAGCCTCACATCCAGAATGTTGCCAAATTCTGTAGATTCCATCTTAAAAACATAGCCCGCATCCGCCCCTTTCTTAAACAAGATGCTACCAAGGAGCTTGTCCATGCTCTAGTAATTTCCTGCATGGATTATTGTAACCCTCTCCTGATTGGTCTTCCCAAAAGCCGTACTGCACCGCTACAGTCCATAATGAACGCTGCTGCCAGACTGATTTTCCTCTCTAGTCGTCTCTCTCACACCTCACACTTCCTGTATGCTATAGAAGTAAATTCAATGTACTAATTCACACCTATAAAGCACTGAACTACTCTAGCCCCTCTTATATCTCCTCACAGATCCATAGGTATGTCCCATCTCGGTCTCTCCACTCTGCCCGTGACCACCTTCTGTCCGTTGTCCGCACCCGTACGGCCAACTCACGCTTGCAGGACTTCTCGCGGGCGGCTCCCTTCCTATGGAATAGCCTGCTACCGCCATCAGACTCTCTTGCATCTTTTAAGAAGTGCCTTAAAACCCATCTCTTTAGGAAAGCTTATTGCCTCCAAGACTAACCTCTACCTATTGGAGTCAACCAGATGCCCCTCCGCACACTAGCCCACGTGGTAGATTTCTCGGGTAAAAACACTCGCTTCGTAGATCAAGGGGAACAGAGAGGCTCTGTTCGGTCCTGTCCTGTCTTGTCCCAATCTTTATCGTGGACTCAGACGCGAATCTTGTGGTTGGAGAACTACAGGCGTGACCCTTGGATGATCGGAGAAGCCACCTTCTACATCAAGAAGGGAGTACAGATAGCAGTTTCCTTCGCTAGCCCAAGCCATGGTCATCATGTTGGCATTACAGGACATCAACCTCCTTGACGGAAAAAGATCACAGCTTCCCAAGAACAGCGAATCTAACAGCGTTTTGGGTTCTGGTCCGCTCTTGGAGGATCATCAACGACGGGCATCTTCATCGATCGATCTTACATCACACCTCGCGGTTGATGGGTCCATTCGGGTCTAATTTCATTATACCCGAGATTACTTGCCAGCGACACAAGCATCGTTTGATTTGTTGGCTGAGCGTTAAAACAGCAAATATGAACCCTCCTGTCATGTTATAAAATTGTAGATTATACTAGCTTTAGTGTACCTATAATCTTAATTTTATTAATGACAGGAGACGAATATTTCCCTCCCTATTTCATACCTTCCCTTGTTTAGTTAGTTGTCAGATGTTTGGGGTAATCAGGTGAGTATACAACTCTGCTTGTTGTCTCTGCTACCTGTCACTTGTTCATGTTCCCGCTTCCTACCTAAGGTTTGGGATCTCTGTATATTACTGTAATTTTGGTTGTTACGCTGGGCGCCTGCATGTTTGTTCAGAGTACATTTCATTATCTAACCAGTCCTTTCGATTCTGTTTCTCTTGTTTCAGTTTACAGTCAGTCCTTGGTGCCATGTTTGATATTTCTTCTCGGATGGATGACGTTGTTGCATTCATTTTATCCTAGGACTTTTTTTTTCTGCCTTTTGTTCTGTTTTTGTCGCAGCTTGAAAGAGGAAGTTGTGTGTGGGGAGGGGAGTTTTATTGTACCCAACGTTTTTCTGATTGGTTGTTTTTTTCTCTGTGTTAATGTGCTGCTGTGGAGTTCTAGTAAAGAGAGACTTAAGGATATATTCGGTTCCTGTCATCAATAAAATTAATATTATAGGTACACTAAAGCTAGCATAATATACAATTGTCCATCACTTCAAATAATTTTATTTTTTATCGGCCTTCTTTTGTATCAACAGCATAAATGTGTTTAAAAGGCTTAACTCAACGGATTTGTGTCTTTTTTTAAACTTAGATTTCTATGTAACTATGAAACCAGCCAAGTTAGACACAGAAGATAATGAGGTGTTTACAGTCTGGGTTCTCTAATGAAGTCCATCATATTGCTCATCATGTGAACAGATATGGGGTGAGGAAAACTGGGGCTATCACGGGAACAGTAACGCCCTCACATCACAGGCTCAGCTTACCTCGTTCCTGCCACCTGACCACTGCCCAAAATTCTCCATCTCTTCCACAAATTCATCGCACATTACATCATTAAAAATGGGGAACCAGTAAACATCAGGGCAGGGCTGCCAAAATAAAAACAAAACACACAACATCAACTGCAATCAAATGCAAGAGCTGACAAGTAAAGGACTATTTTAATTAATTTCTGTTTCTACATTTCCTGCACCCAGAGAAAGCAATGCCAGTACACAAATAGTCATGCTTTATGTATGTGGTTTTGTTTTTTTAATGATGTACCGTAGCCTGTTCAGGAGAAGGGGTCTCCGATGGAAACCCTGTTAGGGTGTTTGTGCGCATGGTGCGTTATATAAGCAAATCCCCCCCCTCTCAAAGCCACAACAGTTATGAAGGGAGGAATTTGATAATTACCTGTTCGTAGTAATCCTCCTCAAATACCTTGGAGTAATCCTCATGAATATATTTCTCCTTCCAATCCTGGAGATGTAATGATATCGGGATTAGGATAAAATCAAGAGAAATAGACAAACTTTGATCAGACTTGCACTCTACACCCCCAAAATCGACCCCCAGTTTATCTCTTACCCTGTTGGCTGCACAATCTCTTACTCTCTATCATTCTACCTAAAGTAGTATCCCAATATCCCAAACTTTCCCCATTGGCTGCACAATCTCTTACTCTTACTTTCTACCAATCTACCTAAAGTAGTCATTCAATATCCCTGTCTTTCCACTATTCTCCCCAATAATCCTGCAACCTCTCCCAATCTTCCTTTCTCACCACTGGGTTCTCGAAGATCTGCCACAGGTCATTGTGTAGGTGGGATGTATTGTATCTGGATGTGGAGATCAGACGTCCAAATTCATCTCTGTTACTGATGTGGAGGAACACACCCTGAAATGACAGACTGGGTGACTGACGGACAGTATTCTTAGTTTGCCAGGTTAGACCTTTTCTAGTAATATAATGAATCATGTAAATAAATACATTATGATGATACATTAGACAAGTCAGACTATTGCTTACTTTATCTCGTACACTCTTACAAAATGCCATATCGGGGTCTGTTTGGGAGGAGGTGAAGATGTTTTTGTGCAAAAGTTCACGGCGCAGAGTCTCTCCTCTTATTAGATAAACATGAGCGATATATGGCACATTCCACACACCCCTGGAAGAAGAATACATTATCAATAAAGAAGGCGGAGCATGAACCCTCCACTCACACCCCCCCTGGTGACAGAGAACAAAGGGGACTGAGTCAGTCCCTCCCCCAACAGAGTGACATTGACATAGATAAGGGGCGCTATCAGTCTGCCACTCCCCCAACAGAGACACATTGACATAGATAGGGGGCGCTATCAGTCTTCCACTCCCCCAACAGAGTGACATTGACATAGATAGGGGGGCCCAACACAGTGACATTGACATAGATAGGGGGCGCTATCAGTCTGGAACTACCTCAACAGAGTGACATTGACATAGATAAGGGGCACCATCAGTCTGCCACTCCCCAACAGAGTAGCACTGACATAGATAGGGGGCGCTATCAGTCTGTCCCTCCCCCAACAGAGTGACACTGGCGGGATCAGTCTGTCCCTCCTCAAACAGAGTGACATTGACAAAGATAAGGGGCGCTATCAGTCTGCCACTCCCCCAGAGTGACATTGACATAGATAAGGGGCGCTATCAGTCTGCCACTCCCCCAACAGAATGACATTGACATAGATAAGGGGCGCTATCAGTCTGCCACTCCCCCAACAGAAAGACATTGACATAGATAGGGGGCGCTATCAGTCTGCCACTCCCCCAACAGAGAGACATTGACATAGATAGGGGGGCCCAACAGAGTGGCATTGACATAGATGAGGGGCGCTATCAGTCTGTCCCTTCCCCAACAGAGTGACATTGACATAGATAGGGGGCGCTATCAGTCTGCCACTCCCCCAACAGAGTGACATTGACATAGATAAGGGGCGCGATCAGTCTGCCACTCCCCCAACAGAGAGACATTGACATAGATAGGGGGCACTATCAGTCTGCCACTCCCCCAACAGAGAGACATTGACATAGATAGGGGGGCCCAACAGAGTGGCATTGACATAGATGAGGGGCGCTATCAGTCTGTCCCTTCCCCAACAGAGTGACATTGACATAGATAGGGGGCGCTATCAGTCTGCCACTCCCCCAACAGAGTGACATTCACATAGATAGGGGGGCCCAACAGAGTGACATTCACATAGATAGGGGGGCCCAACAGAGTGACATTCACATAGATGAGGGTCGCTATCAGTCTGTCCCTCCCCCAACAGAGTGACACTGGTGCAATCAGTCTGTCCCTCCTCAAACAGAGTGACATTGGCCCAGATAGGGGGTGCTATCAGTTTGTCTCTCCTCCAACAGAGTGACAATAGCACAGACAGTGTACTCTATCAGCATGTTCCTCACCCCGCAGGGTGACACAGGAGCGCTTACACTCTTTTTCCTTGCACTATATCTACATAGTCCTCAGATCGAGCGTAGTATCCCTCCGGACTGAGTGCTCCCCAGAAGTTGGACCATAGTTTTCCGGCACGGGACACCATTGGGGCAATAACCTTCCTGTGAACAGTGAGGAGAACAGAGGTTCCATGTCAGGCAAGTAACACATGATATTCAGAATATAAATCTGGATTTATCCTTATACCCTTCCCATTGTGCACAACCCCCCCTCCCCCTCGGCATCTCACTTGTTCTCCTGGATCAGCATATACAGAGTCTCAGGATTTGTGATTACAACATCTGCGTCCAGACTGAAATAGTAGCCACAGGTGTCATCCTGACGACAGAGGTCCCTGTGGGAGACAGAAAAAGTCATAAAGCTACACATGGTATGGGGACGCACACACAGTGTTTGCACACGTGGCATGGGGACGCACACACAGTGTTTGCACACGTGGCATGGGGACGCACACACAGTGTTTGCACACGTGGTATGGGGACGCACACACAGTGTTTGCACACGTGGTATGGGGACGCACACACAGTGCAGGACCGGGGTTTTATTATTTTGGGTACTCACATCCCCATATCTCTTGCCTCGCCCTGACTCAAAGCTTCCTCAGGTCCCACAATTTTGATGCTGGAAAACTCCTCCTTGTGCTTGTCCCAGAAAGCCTGGATGTGCTTTTCATGATAAACTTCCTGTACGGAGGGAAAATTGTACAGTTTGGTAAGAGAAGAAGAGAACATCCATATTTTAACAACTAAAAAATAAACTGGATGATCAGGAGACCAGAATAAAACATCTACTATGGATCATCTGGATAACGAAGAACTAGATTCCATACACAGGCAGTGCTGGAGTTAAAGCAGGTATTAATGCCCACATATAGACTGCAAACATCTATTATGGATCATCTGGATTACGAAGAACTAGATTCCAGACACAGGCAGTGCTGGAGTTACAGCGGGTATTAATGCCCACATATAGACTGCACCGGGAGACCAAAATAAAACATCTACTATGGATCACCTGGATAACAAAGAACAAGATTCCAGACACAGGCAGTGCTGGAGTTACAGCAGGTATTAATGCCCACATATAGACTGCACCAGGAGACCAAAATAAAACATCTACTATGGATCATCTGGATAACGAAGAACTAGATTCCAGACACAGGCAGTGCTGGAATTACAGCAGGTATTAATGCCCACATATAGACTGCACCAGGAGACCAGAATAAAACATCTACTATGGATCATCTGGATAACGAAGAACAAGATTCCAGACACAGGCAGTGCTGGAGTTACAGCAGGTATTAATGCCCACATATAGACTGCACCAGGAGACCAAAATAAAACATCTACTATGGATCACCTGGATAACAAAGAACAAGATTCCAGACACAGGCAGTGCTGGAGTTACAGCAGGTATTAATGCCCACATATAGACTGCACCAGGAGACCAAAATAAAACATCTACTATGGATCATCTGGATAACGAAGAACTAGATTCCGGACACAGGCAGTGCTGGAATTACAGCAGGTATTAATGCCCACATATAGACTGCACCAGGAGACCAGAATAAAACATCTACTATGGATCATCTGGATAACGAAGAACAAGATTCCAGACACAGGCAGTGCTGGAATTACAGCAGGTATTAATGCCCACATATTATACTGCACCAGGAGACCAGAATAAAACATCTACTATGGATCATCTGGATAACGAAGAACAAGATTCCAGACACAGGCAGTGCTGGAGTTACAGCAGGTATTAATGCCCACATATTATACTGCACCAGGAGACCAGAATAAAACATCTATTATGGATCATCTGGATAACGAAGAACAAGATTCCAGACACAGGCAGTGCTGCAGTTACAGCAGGTATTAATGCCCACATATAGACTGCACCGGGAGACAAGAATAAAACATCTACTATGGATCATCTGGATAACAAAGAACTAGATTCCGGACACAGGCAGTGCTGGAGTTACAGCAGGTATTAATGCCCACATATAGACTGCACCAGGAGACCAGAATAAAACATGTCAAACTTGGCATGAATAGATGTGCGGCCCACCTGCCCTGTGGCCACTTCGTGCTGTGGTGGTGAGAGGGAAAGGCAGTGTATTAGATTGGGTGGAGGGGGCAGTGTATCAGAGTGGAGGGGGGCAGTGTATTATATTTGGGGAGGGAAGGCAGTGTATTAGATTGGGTGGAGGGAAGGCAGTGTATTAGATTGGGTGGAGGGGCTAGTGTATCAGAGTGGAGGGGGGCAGTGTATTATATTTGGGGAGGGAAGGCAGTGTATTAGATTGGGTGGAGGGAAGGCAGTGTATTAGATTGGGTGGAGGGGCTAGTGTATCAGAGTAGAGGGGGGCAGTGTATTATATTTGGGGAGGGAAGGCAGTGTATTAGATTGGGTCTGCATGGAGGCACTGAACACTCCCCATGGAAATGCTGATTGGCTGTGCAGCTTTTTGCCACACGTGCACAATAGCCTCCCAATGCTTTCTTATGGGAAAGCATTGGATTGGCTGACATCAAGTTTGATGATCTCAGCGAAAGTGAAGAACACACTCAGAGACCTTCTAAATCAACAAGATAACATCATTGATTTTTTACAGCTGTGCAACGGCATACATTCACCATTTCAGTCCCATTACCAAACTTTTCTTAATATGTCAAGATTGGACTGAAACATTGCTTCGTGTCCCTCTGGTGTCATTAAGGGTACTATTTTTTGCGCAGTTTGCCTGGCTTTTAGCTATCACGCTACCAGTTTTCCCACCTTGTTGCCTTGTGAATAGGAGGTTGCTTTTAGTCTTGAAAGTAAGTAACTAGTTTTGTCTAGGGCCTTAGTTGGTATATTTGTACTCAGCCCCTCAGAAGGAGAAATTTGGTTTGTGTTAGTAAGGTTGGCTAGTTCGGTTTGCCACTTTCTCAGTTGATCAGTTGTGTGCTTGCCACATTGTGTTGTGTGAGATGCCTTGTGTCGTTTTGTCTGTAAAATATCATTGTATGTCTGTCTCCAATTCTGTTGTAAATTGAAGGTCTGTGAGTAGTGACTCATTAAGTCTCCATGGGCTGCTGTGAGTCGGGTCGAATAAGTCCTCCAGGAGCACCGGGGTGTGGTCAGATCACGAGATCTGGCTTATGACGCAACTATCTACTTGAGTAAGGTGTGATCCCTGTATTAAAAAGCCATCTATGCGGGAATGGGTGTTGTGTAAGTTTGAGAAGAATGTATATCCCCTTTCTTCTACATGGATTGTTCTCCATGCATCATAGTAATGATGCGTGTGAAGTAGTTTCACTAAGGCCTTGCTTTGCCGTTTTAGTGGACGCATTCTTGGTTTGGAGGGTGACATCGTAGAGATCACGAACGGAGCTAGCACGTGATTGAGGTGTCTGCAAATCAAACTTATGCCTTGTTGGAGAGAGCCGAATTTGTATAATATTTTGTGGAGAAAATTACGTTGCTCCCTGTTAGGGGCATAGATACTAGTGACGCTAGTGTATAGTACATGATTAAATGTGCCAATAACGATAACATATCTGCCCTAATCATCTCTGACCTGGCTGTGGAGAGTGAAGGCTACGTCTTTGCTAATAAATATGGAGGTTCCTCTCGATTTAGTGAGAGAGAATTGTTGCGTGGAATTGGTGGGGGTAGTCTTGTTGGAACAGTAGGGAATGAGTCTGGGTCTTAAAGTGTGTCTCCACGTTCAGTCTGTGGGACCTGAGTTCCTTCCGCAATAAGTATATTTTAGCAGGGACACTCAGTCCTTTCACATTATAAGTGTATACTTTCATGGGGGTTGGTAGACTATAGTGTGGCTTGAAACATGTGTTAACATTAGATTGAGGAGCACCTCTCTTCCCAGCGCAATCAAGCTGGGAGGCTCTCCCCTCGGTTTTAGTAATTGGTTAGACGACTCTTTGGACCTTTTATGTGCCCCGGACCCAGTCTTGTCTCCGGACCTTCTTGGGGGCATAAAAATCCATTCGGTTGCCAACTTAAAACATAATAAAAATAGGTAACAAAACACAACATAAAAACGTGCCTAATTTAAGGCGGGGCACCAATGTGTGGTGCTGTGGGGGTAGAAGAAATCTGCTTCCATTTCGGTGCTTGGTGGTTTTCACCAGCTAGTTAGAATGTGGGAATATTAATACTTTGTGACCCTTAGTATGCAAGAGGGTTGTATACCTAACTGGTTATAAACTTTTATTTTATTTTTATTTTGAAGTCTAAGGTAACACCTTAGTTTATGCGTTCACCTGGTTTGGCATTTAGTGCCACGAGCGCCTTGTTTATGGGGCTAGTGGTTAGCGTTTGTCTATCCATAGCCTTACTGGGGGCTGGTTTTTCACATCAAAGGAGGAATTTTTGTCTCCCTTGTCGGTGAGCCTTTTGCTCTTGTGTGGAGACATTGCAGGTGAGTAGTCTCAGCTCTGCCGGAGAGCTGAGCTACAGGGAGACACAAGAATCACAAGATGGCACCGGAAATGCAGGAAATCTATTTTTACATGACTTTGTCCCAATGTTTGTCTCCCTCCCAGGTCTATAAAACGGTGATTCCATAGCCTAGTGAACACGCTACACATGGTTATAATGCTCTGTGCACAGGAGAGGGTATCAAACTTTATTTATTGATTAGTGAAGACGACAAACCGAAATTTCTATTATACTTTAGTTGTGGGCAAGGGCCGACACCATATACTTAATATTAACTAACTGACCATCACAAATGTAAGCTGCCCGGAGCAGCACGCTAGAAAGTGTTGACATGTGTGTTAAAATTCAGTACGTGCATAAAGACACTAATCTCTTTATACAATTTCCCAAAGTTTATTGTACTGGTTGTGTCACTTGACTTATTTCTGTGTGAGAATGGACAGACAGATATTTTTAGACACTTCGCTGTAAATATGCTTTTTGGAGGGGAGGAAGGGATTAGAGGTTCAGGGTAGATGGGAACTCACACTGTTATGAATGTAGAGTAAGAGGCGATTTCGTGGGTAGTCCAACGTGGCCACTCTCTCCAGAAATTGAGGGAGGAATGGTGTTGGCTGCTCAATGAAAATTCCAAGAAGAATACGAGGCAAAGCATCGTCCTACAGGAGAGAGAAAATAAAGTTATATATCACCTGGTAGTACCTCAAGTAAAACCAGCTCAGCCCATTCCGCTATTACCTGACAAGAGAGCCAGCTTAGCCCATTCTGGTAGCACCTGACAAGAGAGCCAGCTCGACCCATTCCCGTATTACCTGATGGACAGCCAGCTTGAACCAACCTGGTAGCACCTGACAGAGAGCCAGCTCGACCCATTCCGGTATTACCTGACAAGAGAGCCAGCTCAGCCCATTCCGGTAGCACCTGACAAGAGAGCCAGCTTGAACCAATCTGGTAGCACCTGACGGACAGCCAGCTTGAACCAATCTGGGAGCACCTGACAGAGCCAGCTCGACCCATTCCGGTATTACCTGACGGACAGCCAGCTTGAACCAATCTGGTAGTACCTCACAGAAAGCCAGCTCAGCCCATTCCGGTAATACCGGATGAAAAGTCTGCTCTGTCACATTAGGTTTGTGAGACAGTGCACAGCTGCTATGTTCCTAGTTCTAGCTATGAGATCAGACATCTGAAACCATTAACATGGCAGACATTGTCCCATTTAAACACAGGAACATCTGGAACGGTTCATCAGATGCCAGACAGACACGGTTACATGCCTAAGCATAGGGTCCAGTAGTGGATAATATCTGGCAATGGTACGATCTGTAAACATTGAAGGCTGGGCACAGGGTATCTGTGGTAGATAAACACAAAGAGCCTGTAACGGCTCTGTCTGTCTGTGGGTATCTGTGGTAGATAAACACAAAGAGCCGATAATGGCTCTGTCTGTCTGTGGGTATCTGTGGTAGATAAACACAAGGAGCCGGTAATGGCTCTGTCTGTCTGTGGGTATCTGTGGTAGATAAACACAAGGAGCCGGTAATGGCTCTGTCTGTCTGTGGGTATCTGTGGTAGATAAACACAAGGAGCCGGTAATGGCTCTGTCTGTCTGTGGGTATCTGTGGTAGATAAACACAAGGAGCCGGTAATGGCTCTGTCTGTCTGTGGGTATCTGTGGTAGATAAACACAAGGAGCCGGTAATGGCTCTGTCTGTCTGTGGGTATCTGTGGTAGATAAACACAAAGAGCCGGTAATGGCTCTGTCTGTCTGTGGGTATCTGTGGTAGATAAACACAAGGAGCCGGTAATGGCTGTGTCTGTCTGTGGGTATCTGTGGTAGATAAACACAAGGAGCCGGTAATGGCTCTGTCTGTCTGTGGGTATCTGTGGTAGATAAACACAAGGAGCCGGTAACGGCTCTGTCTGTCTGTGGGTATCTGTGGTAGATAAACACAAGGAGCCTGTAACGGCTCTGTCTGTCTGTGGGTATCTGTGGTAGATAAACACAAGGAGCCTGTAACGGCTCTTGTCGGTCTGTGGGTATCTGTAATGGTTCTGTCTGTGTATCGATCTAAACACCCAGTCCTAGTAAGAGGACCAGAAGAAGTTCTAATCTGTCCAGCAGAGCGGTTACGGTTGCTTTTCAGACTGTAAATTAAAATATACTAACAGATCCCGGCTACCTGGTGTGGCGGGAGGGCCAGGCTCTTGACAATAAACTCCAAATGCAAGCTTTAGGATAAAGTAGTACTGCAGTTTAGTTGCACTTTCCACAGGTTATACAATGCTGTGCTTCACAGAAATAAATTTAACAAAAAAGAAAATAAATCCTACTCCAACTCGGAGACTTACTAAACAGCAGTATTCCTAACTATCCAACTGGCCAGCTAATCCAGTTCCCAGTTGTAAACAATTTAAACACAGCACTTTAACCCCTTAAGGACCGGACTGTTTTTGCGATGTTGTACATTTGCGACCAGGCATCTTTTTACACTTTTGTGGTGTTTGTGTTTAGCTGTAATTTTCCTCTCTACCATTTACTGTTCCCATACAAATTATATATGGGTTTTTTTCAGGACAAAAAGGGCTTTCTTTACATACCATTATTTATATAATCTCATTTAATTTAAAAATAATAAAAATATAGGATGAAAAATTTAAAGAAAAACATGGTTTTTTTTTTACTTTTACTTGAAAAATCTTTTACTCATCTACAAAAGCTAATGAAAAAAAAAACTACTAAGCTATAAATACAAGTAGGATATTGCGGTTTCAAAACATACATTTCTAAAATTTATCAATAGTAACATTGTAACACTATTATCTGTCATAAATCTCTGAATAACACTCCACATGTACATATTTTTTTTTAAAGTAGACAACCCATGGTATTCAATATGGGATATGTCCAGACTTTTTTAGTAGTCACAAACACTGGCCAAAGTTAGCGTTCATATTTGTTTGTGTGTGAGAAAAGTAAAAAACTAAATTGAACGCTAAGTTTAGCCAGTGTTTGTGACTCAAGTGGCTACTAAAAAAGACTGGACATACCCCATTTGCAATACCTTGGGTTGTCTACTATGGCAAATGGTATGCCATCATGGGGCTAATTCTCATTCCTGGGCTACCACACCATCTCAAAGGCAAAGTAACCAACCTGGCAATTTTCAATGTAAAAATAGTTGACCCATATATTTAACCCAATAACTTTCAAAAACGCTATAAAACCTGTTAATGGGGGGTACTGTTATACTCAGGAGACTTTGCTGAACACAAATATTAGTGTTTAAAAACTGGAAAACGTATCACAACAATTATATCATCAGTAAAAGTGCTGTTTGTGTGTTAAAAACGCAAAAAAAGTCACTTTCACTGACAATATCATCGCTGTGATATGTTTTACTGTTTTGAAACACTAATATTTGTGTTCAGCGAAGTCTCCAGAGTAAAACAATACCCCCCATGTACAGGTTTTAGGGTGTCATAGAAAGTTACAGGGTTAAACACAGTGCTAGCAAATTAAATTCTCTGGACTTGCGGCCTGGGTTGGCAGGCAGGTCCCTCAAATTGCAATCAATAAAATTACTTATTAATGTAAAAATATTACATAAATACGCACGTAGAATTAAAATATATATGCATATTTATATATTTGAAGTCTACGTGTATATTTATATAATTATTTATGCAATTTTGTATATGGACATATGTATATTTCGTATTATTTTTATTTATTTATACATACATAGATATATATATATATATATATATATATATTTATATTTATATACACACACACAATTTCATTCTAAGTGTATTTTGATATAAATATATTAATATCAAAATACAGTTAGAATAAAATTTCATATAGATATAATTTTATTATTTTTACTTTTTTTAATTTAATTTACTTATTATTTGTATTTTATAATAATAAATATAAACACAATATATATAGTTATTGTATATCTACGTGTGTAATGTAATTATAAGTGTATTTTTATATTAATATATGTATATATTAGTATAAAAATACACGTAGTATGACATATATATGTATATAGACATATTAGATATAATATATGTCTATATATCATATTTATATACACATACATAATTATATATTTTTTATTAACATTTACGTGTATTTTTTTTTTTTTGATTTTACACTTGCAGGGAGACTGCCCATCAGCACAGGCAGTCCTCCGGCAGGCAGACACTAGGACACCTATTGTGACCATGTGATCGCTCTGTTGAGCGATCACATGGCCCCCAGGGTCCTAATCTGCCATGGGGTGACTGTTTGGGCTGCAGGCAGTCTCCCCACACTGGGAGCACCGCTGATCGCCGCCGGGGGAACGACAGCGATCGGGTAAGTACATAAGACCGCTGTGACGGTTCAGGACCGTCATCGATCGGCAACACAAAAATGCAAATGACGGTCCTGAAGGGGTTAAGCAGGCTTTTACACAGTACCTTTTCCTTTAGAATCTCAGGTTTAACTGCCTCTTCTCTCCCAGCTGTTAGACTCGCTGATGCCTTTAGAGGCTGACCTTTTAAATCCCCAGTGCAGGTTAATTACTTCCACCAACTAACCCTATCATGCAGGAAATAGAGAGCGCTCCAATCTGTTACTTACATAGAAAGCCACTCTGACTCTGCCACACTGTGTATAGTATAATAAGGTTTCTCTCACCTCCAGATCAGACAGGTCCAGCAGGTTATCATCACAAATCTCACATCCCCCCTCATTGGTCCAGGCGTTTGGCACATAGTTTGCTAAATAATTCAACTGCAACTGAAAGAGAAATGGGTTTAATTACACAGGACATCAAACATCCCAATAACCATTCCTTTTTTTCACTCTTTACAGAGACAATTCAAACCTTCCTGTATCTTAGTCAGCAATACTTACTACTTTGTGTCACTCTGTATGAATAGAGGCTTGACCCACCTGACCATAATGCACTCAGGCTCTTCTGAATATCACAATACATATTTTTTTACCTTGCCCTATATGGACCTCAAACCTGGGACAGAGATCCTTTCTCTGAACCGGATCATTACGCATCCAAACTACAAAGGACAATCTCCCATCATCCATAAAAATATATCCATTGACAATTTGATATTTTAGTGACATAACTTTGTTCTATTCTTTTATACCTTTCCTGAAGCTTTCAAATTGATTTAATGCTTTGTAAAACAGCGCTGTGTTACTGTGATGACACATGCTTTCAAAAGCAAATCATGTTAAGGATCTATTTATTTATAAAAAAAAATTTTAATATAGGTCAATTCTCATGGCAGTGAGCAGCCAAGACTATGCATAAAGTCCTCCCTTACAGAACACGTCTTAGCTTTGCTTTTTTTAGGAGGACTCATATTACAGCATATAATGTGGTGGGAGGGGAACTAAATACTGCCATCTAAGTACAAGGAGTGATGGGTGCCAGAGAACACAGAGTTCCCACAGCTAACTTTGGGATCAGGGGTGAGAACTGCAAATACAAAAAGAATATAAAAAGAAAACCAGACAAATAGGAGACAGACAGAACAGGGCAGAGAGTACCTTTGTAGGTCCGTTTCCATGTATTACTACAGGCATTGTGTCAAATGCTACATTCCGAGCACGAACTTTATTGCTCTCAAATTTTAGGACAACTTCATCTGCAGGAAAAAAGGGAAATTGCAACATAACAGTGACTTAACACTCCCCCCCCCGACCCCCTGATGGGAAAAGAGAGCGTCTCACACACAGGGATTCCTATAAGTTATAGGGTCAGTGACGCTCCCTCTGATGGGATAAGAGCGTCTCACACACAGGGATTCGTATAAGTTATAGGGTCAGTGACGCCCCCTCTGATGGGATAAAAGAGCGTCTCACACACAGGGATTCCTATAAGTTATAGGGTCAGTGACGTCCCCTCTGATGGGAAAAGAGAGCGTCTCACACACAGGGATTCCTATAAGTTAGAGGGTCAGTGACGCCCCCTCTGATGGGATAAAAGAGCGTCTCACACACAGGGATTCCTATAAGTTATAGGGTCAGTGACGCCCCCTCTGATGGGATAAGAGAGAGTCTCACACACAGGGATTCCTATAAGTTATAGGGTCAGTGACGCCCCCTCTGATGGGATAAGAGAGCGTCTCACACACAGGGATTCCTATAAGTTATAGGGTCAGTGACGCCCCCTCTGATGGGATAAGAGAGCGTCTCACACACAGGGGTTCCTATAAGTTATAGGGTCAGTGACGCTCCCTCTGATGGGATAAGAGAGCGTCTCACACACAGGGATTCCTATAAGTTATAGGGTCAGTGACGTCCCCACTGATGGGATAAGAGAGCGTCTCACACACAGGGATTCCTATAAGTTATAGGGTCAGTGACGCCCCCTCTGATGGGATAAGAGAGCATCTCACACACAGGGATTCCTATAAGTTATAGGGTCAGTGACTCCCCCTCTGATGGGATAAGAGAGCGTCTCACACAGGGATTCCTATAAGTTATAGGGTCAGTGACACCCCTCTGATGGGATAAGAGAGCGTCTCACACACAGGGATTCCTATAAGTTATAGGGTCAGTGACTCCCCCTCTGATGGGATAAGAGAGCGTCTCACACACAGGGATTCCTATAAGTTATAGGGTCAGTGACATCCCCTCTGATGGGATAAGAGAGCGTCTCACACACAGGGATTCCTATAAGTTATAGGGTCAGTGATGCCCCCTCTGATGGGATAAGAGAGCCTCTCACACACAGGGATTCCTATAAGTTATAGGGTCAGTGACGCTCCCTCTGATGGGATAAGAGAGCGTCTCACACACAGGGATTCCTATAAGTTATAGGGTCAGTGACATCTCCTAATAGGTAAAAGTAAAAAATAACTTATAACTCACCAATGGCTCCATTAAGATTTTGGAAGATTTTTGACTTGTGATCCAGAGTAATACTGAATTTTTCCTGAATCAAGAAAGTAAAAAACAAAACATTTATTTATTTTTTTAATCCTGCCAGGGAAGCGAAATAAGAAGTAATAAACGGTTTAAACAAACAGAGAGTGAGAGACAGACAGGATCACCTTGAGAGTTGAGTCCAGGTAAACCTTGGTGTAAAATAGCTGATCGTCGTCATCATCTTTGTATTTCCATAGTTGCACGATACGATAGAGCTGGGGTGCGTAGCCAATAAACCCTGCCGGGAAGAGAGAAAGAGATCAATTACAAACATATAACCATATCAGGCACCCATAGAACTCATAAAGGTAAGACAAACACTGACAAGAAAGAAGCCCTGTGTGCCTAAACCATAATATGCAAATCTAACTGAATATGAGTCAAATTGAGTCAAGTCATCTCTATGAGGAGCTGCTGATTGGCCAGGGCTGTGTTTGAATCATGCTGGCTCTGCCCCTGATCTTGACAAGCTCAGCCACTCCTATGGGGAAGCACTCTGATTGGCTTAGACCACCACTCCTGATGATGTCAGCAGACAGGGGTAGAGCCATCAGCTTCAGACATGAATACAAGTAAGATTTTACTATATTTGGGAGGCAAGAGGGATCACATGGTGGTTTTAACACTATAGGGTCAGGAATACAGGTTTGTGTTCCTCACCCTATAGTGCTCCTTTAACAACCAGCAGATGGCGCTGCACAGGATTGCAAGATTGTTCCCAACCAACAGATGGCGATGTAATGGCTCCACAGCCAAATCCACTTGGTTGAAAGCATCAGCAGGACAGGAGAGCACACAAAACCTTTAACAAATAACAATAATACACACCCTGCACCTATAATGAACATAGGGTGACAGACATAAGAGGCGTCTTGGAAATCACAAGAGCTGTCAGACACAAACAGACAGACAAAACTCCCACCAGCAATCCCAGCCCAAGGTCGATCAACTCTGGGGGGAAAAGGAACTAACATAGCTGCTAGAGAGAGATGGGCAGAGTTTATATGGTCCCAGCAATGGTGATTACCGTCACACTGGGTCCCCTCTTATTCTAGTCACATGTCTTTACACACTTACAAAAAAGAGAACGCCATAGGAAGCTACTCGCATGTACGCTTAGGAAATATCTTAGGGCAGATTGGAGGGGATAACCCTTATAGAAAATGTTTTTTTTTTAAATACAACATTGGAAGATAACCTATTCAAATGAAATCACTAACATAAAATAAATATAGAGGATATTGCTCTATAATATAAGTACAATTACTAAGAGAATACTTATTGTAATTTAGAAGGGAAAATGACCAGCGGTAAATTCTTTAAATATAACCATAAACCATTTTCTTGAGCTGCAGATCATATAAATGGTTACATTTCAGTTAAGTCCATAATTGGAAACATGTAACTAACATCTAAGCATATAGCGGTCTGTGACAACAAACCAAAATAAATGTATATAATGGAGCAACGCTCACACGTGGAGGAGAAGGGGAGATATCGCCTAAATGTCTAGTCTGGATAAATCCAAACTGGCTGATAAATTCCTATCAATACCACAGTCTAGACATCAAATCAAAACAAAATTATAATTAATAGTGCAAGGATATAATAACATATCGTGTAGACTTAGATATCTTTGCTAAAAGTTTAGGATAACAAAACTCGATTATATAGGTTGTACTCATAGTTAGATGTAGCACGTAACATAAGGGTGTTTGTGATGTCCACTCTGTCAATGTCTGGCAGTGGATCGATACCACACTATCTATCAATAGTATATAACCCTAAATCTGTGCCTTCGAGGGCACCTAATATATTGCTAAGCTGAAAGGATTACAGAGTCCAAATTATTCCTGCAAATGCACTACAATAGCTGAACTCTTTCCCTGCCAGCCCCAACGAGCTTCCTACACGATGAAGTTATAAACACCAAATGGATCTGACTAAGAAGAATCTAAAGCTAAATTTGTCTAAAGATATCAATGTAGGATAAGGGGTTTATTTGGCACAGGGTAAGGAGTGCAGCTGAGCCCCGACGCACGTTTCGCCGGCAAGTATTCTCTTAGTAATTGTACTTATATTATAGAGCAATATTCTCTGTATTTATTTTACCCTCCCTTGTATTCCCGTGTTTATAGGTGCTTTTACCTTTTTAATAATACTATTTAAATGTTATATTTTACGCGCTAACTTTATTATGCAAGTGATTTCAGTAGGATAGATTATGTTCCGGTGTTTTCTTTACACACTTACACTTATTCCTAGATACAGTAAATACAGACAGAGACAGACACAGACAGAGACAGACAAGGGAAGACAGAGAGCCCAGCTACCTCCAGAGTTGAGAAATCGTTTTCCATTGCCGACGGTTGGATACTTCTCAGCAAGGGACCAGTCTGGCCAGCAGAAACCCTCCGCAGAGAACACCACCTTGTGATCAAATTGCTGGAACTTCCAGAGAAGCTCAATGGGACTCCCAGCTAAAATCACATCATAACTGGAGAAGGAATGGGATAGAGGGTAGTGGAGATAGAGGAACGGGAGTGTGAGGTGGAGGGTAGTGGAGATAGAGGAGATAGAGGAACGGGAGTGTGAGGTTGAGGGTAGTATAGAAAGAGGAATGGGAGTGTGAGGTGGAGGGTAGTGGAGATAGAGGAACGGGAGTGTGAGGTGGAGGGTAGTGGAGATAGAGGAACGGGAGTGTGAGGTGGAGGGTAGTGGAGATAGAGGAACGGGAGTGTGAGGTGGAGGGTAGTGGAGATAGAGGAACGGGAGTTTGAGGTGGAGGGTAGTGGAGATATAGGAACGGGAGTGTGAGGTGGAGGGTAGTGGAGATAGAGGAACGGGAGTGTGAGGTGGAGGGTAGTGGAGATAGAGGAACGGGAGTGTGAGGTGGATGGTAGAGAAAGAAAAAATGGTGGATGGAGAAAATAAACAGAGAGGAAAATTAGCCACACCTAATCCTTCACCTTCAGGCTTCCAGTTTTCAAGCAGTCTCATGTTTTCTCCCTCCTACCAACCAGCTGCCCAAACAATCTATTTACCTGTCTACAAACATGACAACAAGGTCCTCTTGCTCATGGTATTTCTCCAACTCTTCCTTCAACCATCGCACCTTCTGGCCTCCTCCCACTGTACGAGCAACGTCACCTCCCTTCCACTCCTGCCCCAAACCTAGAGTCTGGACCGAATGGAAAGCGAGTCAGGATATATGAAAATCAGGAGAAATAAAGGAGCAAGAGCGAGGGCACGGGAAGGGCATAGGGGTAGGGGAGAAGGAGTAAGGGCATAGGGGCAGGGGAGAAGCTGTAAGGGCATAGGAGCAGGGGAGACGGTGTAAGAGCATAGGGGAGAAGGAGTGTAGGAGAGAAGGAGTAAGGGCGTAGAAGGTAAGGACATGGGAGGAAAGGAGCTGGAGCAAGAGCCAAGACAGCAATACCATAGGGGTCATTACTCACATGTATAGTGTAGTTAAAATGCTTTGCTGTTCGCAGGAACCGGTCATATCCCTCTGTACGGTCAGTAGCTACAGTAAGAACCAGGAGCTTTTCTGGAGGTAAAACAAATACATAGCAATAATTGGTGACAAATGTTACTGTGAGCAACACATACTGAGCATATAGAAAGGTATTATCAATGTATTCTATACTGAGCACAAACACGTGGATATCAAGACATCTGGAATGAGCAGATATAGTGGTTAGTACATCCACTGAGAGCAGTAAAGGTCAACAGTGATATAGAAAGGGTAGTAGATACCTGGAATAGCCTCCCAGTGGGAGCGGTAACAGTGATATAGAAAGGGTAGTAGATCCCAGTGATAGCATTAACAGTGATACAAAAAGGGTAATAGATACCTGGAATAGCCTTCCAGTGGGAGAAGTAAAGGCTAACAGTGATATAGAAAGGGTAGTGGATCCCATGGCTTCCAGTGGGAGCAGTAAACACACTGATAAACGCTAGCGATGTGTATAATGTTATCACAGAGAACCAGTCTGCAGTTTCATAAAAACAGTAGTTGGCTTGATGGTTTTACATGTTGGTAGCCAGGGTCTCCAAGTAAATATATTAGTCTGGAGGCTCGCCATTACCAAGCAGCTATCTGACTGGGTGACACCGAACCTGTGGCTGTGCCCATCTGCTAAACTTTGCAGCTGAAAGAGGAACACACCACTAGATAGGAGAATGGGCAGATTAGATCCGAGCTGTGCCCACCTAACTTCAATCTGAACATGCCAGCAATGCAGAGAGCACCTATCAATGTCCAAAATTTGAAATCTTAGTAATCAGACCATTCCCTCTGAGGCTGTTATAAGAGTAAAAACTTAAGGGCACAGGGCAAACTCACAAGGTGCAAATAGCCAAAATCTCAGGGCACCCGAGTGTGACATCTCCAGGGGGCCTGGTTCCGGAGTCGGGGGGCCTGGGCGGGCATGGCCCGGGAGCCAAGGCACAGAAAACTAGTTCTGAATTTAATTAGTCAGAATTAGATATACTCAAGTAATCCATATTACATAACATTTAACAGTCAGTAAGCATTTCAGCACTTCCTTCTGATTAGTTTTTAATTTCAGAATGTCTACGTTTATTTGCCCTGGGACTGGTGTAAGACTCAGCAGAGCGTGTAGACAGGATAGGAAAAATGTGCCATACATAATGAATTGTGCAGGTGTGGACTCACATGAAATTGTAGAGTCAGATATAAACAGACACTAGACGTGCCAGGACAATACAGAATTATTTCCAGAAATCTACAGTGGAACTACACACAAACCGACTCAATCAGCATTTATTCAGAGAGAAGGAAATTGGGCAACAGAAAATACAGTCTGTACAAAGTTACTCTATTATTCTAAATAACGGCAAACATGATGGGATAAGAGCGCGTCTCACACACAGGGATTCCTATGTGTTGCTTGTAGTGAGATTTAGCCCCAAACAACCTTTGTAATTTAACCCTTTGAATGCAGTGAGGCTGGGAACATGTCTAGGCTGAGACAGATGTTTTGTTTAATTGAAAAAAACTGCTCAGGCCTGTTTAGTCCAGAATTTTACCAGAAGCTTCCAGCTCCCATATGGCACACACTATAAACTCATTTAATTTGAATTTTATCACATAACAGGAGGCTTCATATTTTGCATAGCTTTCTTTACTTTATGCCTCCAGCAGCACAAGTCAATCAGAAAAAACTTTAAACCAATCAGTAACAGGCATCACATCCATATATAAAGCCCTGACAGACACATGACTTCCTCTTTCTTTGCTGCTTCCAGCCAAGGCACAGGTCAGAGTATTTTGCTCCAAACTGTTTTACTGATATTGCAAATTGTCATTAGTTAATCATTTATTGCTTAACTTTCAGTTTGTTCCAAACTGTTATTTTATTAATATTGCTATGGTCACTTTAGTTAGACACCTTATGCTAGACATTCAGTTTTAATCCAAACTGGTGTTCTGGATATTGCAATGGTCACTTTAAAGGACCACTATAGTGCAATGAAAACATACTCCACCCTCAGGGACCCCCTCCCGCCGGGCTTTTGGGAGAGAAAGGGGTTAAAATCTTACCTTCCTCCAGCGCCGGGCGGGGAGCTTTCCTCTTCCTCCTCTCCTTCTTCCTAGCGACGTCATCGGCTGAATGCGCATGCGCGGCAGGAGCCGCACGCGCATTCAGCCAGTTCATAGGAAAGCATTCTCAATGCTTTCCTATGGACGTTGGCGTCTTCTCACTGTGATTTTCACAGTGAGAGGCACGCAAGCGCCTCTAGCGGCTGGCAATGAGAAAGCAACTAGAGGCTCTAGAGGCTGGATTAACCCTCAGTGTAAACATAGCAGTTTCTCTAAAACTGCTATGTTTATAAAAAAATAAAAAATAAAAAAGGGTTAATCCTAGCTGGACCAGGCACCCAGACCACTTCATTAAGCTGAAGTGGTCTGGGTGCCTATAGTGGCCCTTTAATTAAACTTTATTAATTGACTTTCAGTTTGCTCCAACTGTTTTTATTAATATTGCTATGGTCACTTTAGTTAGATTTTTAATGCTAGACATTCAGTTTTGCTCCAAACTGTTTCTGGATATGCATGGACACTTTAGTTAAACTTTATTGGCTTGTCCTGCAATTTTGGCCTAAACGGTTTTCATTAATTTTGCACTTGCCTTCCATTTGGACTTGTATAGTGTGATATTCTCCCCCTGTTACCCTTCCCCCGAATTAACCCTGTATTTTCTGCTTTATTAGCCTGTTTGGTTTTCTGTTGCTGGTACTTTTTTCTTTCCTATGTTTTACTCTGGTCTTGCACGGATCGCAGCGTTTTACTGTGAGCACGATTTTTTATTCACTGGTGCTGGGACTTCAGGGCAGGTCTCTGGGGGTTGGGGATGTCGGGGGGACTCTTTTGCTTTTGCGCACGAAGGGTGGCCATCTTGAATCTCGCGGCACTCGCGCCCGCTAGATCTGTACTGTTTAAAATCGCTTTCCTGCGAAATAAAAGTTTTACAACTACTTTTGAGCTCAATACTAATACATATCATGGGCATGTGGAATAAAGGTTTTCTATGTACCTTTTCTGGAAGATTATGAATGGACTGTTCACTGCTGTGTGGATATAGGGGATGCAGTACTCATGTCTGCTGGCAGTTTGCTCTGTTCTGTTCTATACAATTCTCATGTTGAATAACAGTTTTATTGTACGTCTGGAGGATTATGAATGGACTGTTCCCTGCTGTGGGCATATAGTGGATGCATTACTCTATCTGCTGGCAGGGAAATTAAATAATGCTGATAACTTACTCAGCTCCCTACCCCCACTGGACCTCCCAACCACTGGATACACTCCTTCCCCACAGGGATACACCTCCCAGGACACAGTAGTGGAGGCACATAACGGAGTGATTAACAGGAGTGACTCCAAGCGTGGCAGACACCTCTCCAAAGTGACATTGTGGTACAGGGGTGACCCCCCCCCCTTCGCTGGGTGTCCCCCAAGCGAATCTGGTTCCTGTCCTAGTGACATACATATGCTGGGTGAACCCCAAGCTAATTTAATTCCGGTACTAGTGACATACATATACTGGGGGGAACCCCCACGCCCTAGGACGGGCTCATATCCACGGAGTACGATCTGTTACTGTATGCACAGACCAGGACACACTGGATACATGTATATCGACAGAGCCAGGAAGGAGGGCTAATGGTGCTGCCAAATCTCCGCAGTACTATATCCCATAAGGGTGACCCCTTGGATAATTTGGAGGCTACCATACCTCCCCATACATGGACTACGTCCCGACATTACTGACCGCTCATCCCGGCCTTATTGAGGGTGACCTCCTCCCCAGACCACTCCCAGGAAATCTCTAAGTGGTACTGAGTGAAATAATTTTGGGTGACCCCCAGTCGTACGTGGAGGCCCACTAAGTGGAATAAGTGTACTACCGTACCGGACACCTGTTCGGTACCAAACAGACCAAAAGAGTGTCCCAACATGCCATAAGAGACATACATACAGGGGTGACCACCCTACGCTGGGTGAACCCCAAGCGTCTTACTCCGGTGCTAGTGGCATACGTACAAAGGGGTGACCCCCCAGCCGGACGGGGTGACCCAACGCGCCCTTTCTAGGGCTTCTACCTTCAGAGCACGCTCTGTCATTGTATGCACAGACCAGGGCGCACTAGATCCATGTATTCCGGCACCTCTATGCTATAACTGGGGGATCCGTACGTCCTTCCCTTAACCGAGAAGGAGAACTCACAGTGCTGCCAAAACTCCACAATTCTAGGCCATATAAGGATGACCCCCTTGGATTATACACATTGAGGCCTTCACGTCTCCCATACTCTGGCTACGTCCCAACATTGCAGACCGCTCATCCCGGTCTTGCTGACCACTCCCCGGATCCTGCGAAAGTGGTATGGATTGATCGAAATTCTGGGGGACCCCAGTTATATGCGAAAGGCCCACTGAGTGGCAATAAGTGTACTGTTGTATGATCCTGTCTCCCACAGACCGAAAGGGTGTGAACCAACATGTCGGACTTCCCTCAATATCCCCGACCGATTTTCAGGCGAGGATTAATGCCGCCATGGCAGCTTCGGGGGAAGAAGTCCTCGCCAATATGCTGGCTAACAACCCATCCGACAGGGCGGGTGCAACAGCACCACCACCAATGGAAGCCAGAGATACCGACAACGTTAGGTCGGACAACTTATGATCTAAACACCACTGGAAGGGCTCCAACACGGCTTCTCCAAAGGGGAAAGGGAACACCCAGTCTTAGCGGAGCCCTCTCTCGGAACGTCCTGTCCATTAATCATATCAGGCTCCATCATCAGGGGACGAGGAGTTCATCCCTCCCCTTTCTCTGGAGATCATGAAAGAATGGAGAGCAGAAGGGTCTTCACCTGAAGAGGTAAAGTGACAAGACCCGCCTAGCAAGAAAGGCTTGTTTTGACTCACGCACCATCCGACACCCAGGGTCATCCGAATGGGGTTTACCAGAGCACCGGGCACACTTTGCCCACTTCTGGCTCAGGAGGCCTATGGGAAAAGAAGTCTGAGACAAGCTCAGGGTGGAATGTCCACGCCCTCTATTACCGAACAAGATAGTCCTCACCCTGGAGTTCGGTATCACTGTGGTGATATTTATGTCCCGATCAGGCCGGGGTCCATGTAAAGGTGTAGGAGAAGTACTTAAAACGAGTTAGGATAAAATACGGGACATGATCAGCCCCGGGAAAAAAATTCTATACTTTGCGGACCTGGTCCCACCCAAGACTCACCTCTAGAAGCTCACGATGTGAGGGAATGGGTGCAAAGGGCAATATGTAGGTTGGGGAACGCAAGGCAGACAGGTGCACAGAACGGCGCAAAGCAGCCCGATTAAAGATGGATTTCAAACTACTGAAGTTCGGGATGAAAGAGCGAGGACCTCAGACAGATGGACTATTGTTTGGAGAACCATTTATCTCAGCAACGGTTTGGTAGTAAGGTAGAAGACAGGAGACTATCGCCCAGTCATCAACCTACGCCAACCCAATGGTTTTGGGGCGTACTGACACCTCAAGAAGGAAAGTATCCATCTCTTAAGGTTGGATTTGAAGGGCACTTACCTACTGGTTCACATGGTGCCTCATGAAGTTTCTGAAGACGGTCACGGCGCACTGAAGAGCAAAGGGTATCCGCTGTCGCATACCTAGACGACTTACTGACCTTTTGCAAATCCAATTCCTGACTACGTTTACAGACGAGATTTAGGTTTACAGTTTCGGGAATTGTTGGGATTCATAGTGAACAGAGAGGAGTCGGTTCAATCCCAGTTCCAAGTGATTCAGTTCCTCTACTTCGGGATAGATTCCACTTTGGGCGGATTACACCTTCCCACATCATTGATAGCAACGATTCGTAAGAAAAGTTGACGGTACGGCGGAAAGGCACCATAACCCATATTTCCCAGGACCGCTTCACTACCGGGCCAGACAGCGTCTGAAAGCTCACTACCCAAGATCCGGACACACTTATGAAATTGGGATCAGAATAGTGAAGACTTCGATAGTACTCATTAACGCGGTAACGGAGTCAAGCATGGCACCCAGAATGGTTGTCCTTAATCGTGATCATCCTCTGCTCCTTCAGTTTTAACTTGCCTTCGGGCAGATCCAAAAGGAGAACATCATCCATTGATAATGCAGGAGCATCTGGAGTTGGTGGATTGGTGTCTTTCAGGAGAGACTGGTACGTCAATGGACTATCGCAACCAACTAGAGACCTATTATGGGACTCATGGACACCAGGTATTCCCCGAAATAACCTATCTGCATGGAACACCTGGAGTCACTGGTGTATGGGAAGGGACTGCGATCCCTTTATTACCCCTATCTCCTCGATGCTGAATCTTTATCATACCTTTTCGCTACGGAACGATCGGACCGTTCCATTAACGGGATACGTTCCGCGATTTTGACGACGCATAGTACGATTCATGACACTCAGGAGCCTTTGATATGCAGCTTTCTGCGGGGTATCTAACTGTCCAGAACCATGCCTCAGAGTATCACTGTTGTGGGACTTTAATTTGGTTCTTTTGGAACTAGTCAGATAACACGGACCTATCCCTCCGTCAGCCATAGTCACGTTACTTTTAGGTCTTTTCGTCGGGTATCAGATGTACTGGAGTTTGACGTAGAAAGTCTTTTTGGTATCACCGGAAGGAATGATTTCTACCGTGTCTCGTAGAACTAAATCTTATCTGCGTCCGTATTTTACCCTGTTCCCGGCGGTTTCCCATTCTTTGTGCAGTTAAAGCGGTACTTCGTTACATGAAGATCACGACAACACTTAGATTGTCACATTCAGGACATCTGCTGGTCTTATACCAACCATACAAGCCAGTTACCATGAACACTGTCTAGATGGGTTCATTGATTGTTATCGCTAGCGGGGGTGGAGACGTGTTTTGGGTACTCATTCGGTACGAGGCGCGGCTGCTTCTCAGGCCTTCACAGGGGGGGGGCCTCTATATTTTACATTTTTTGAATTGAACACGGATAGACCACTTACGTATATTTATTTTCGTCAAACCACACACGCATCCTTCTCGCTCATACCACAGCTTTAAAAAATGCAAAATATGAAGCCTCCTGTCATGTGGTAAAATTGTAGATTATGCTAACGTAGTGTACCTAATAATCTTAATTTTAATAATGACAGGAGGCGAATATTTTCCCTCCGTTTCCCTCCCTGTACTCTGGAAAATTCTAATATTCTGGTTTATCATTTTCTCAGTGTAATTATAAGGTTTTGGTAATTCAGTATTTATGGGCTGCTTATCTGGTTCATGTGTTAGATCCGTGTTGATTATTAAGTATACTATGGTTGTTTAATGTTTCAGTATATTAACTTAATATAACTATAGATACGTATAGTACTGGATTTAATGTGGACAACAGTTGGTTTCCATCACCTTTCACGTATTTCTGTTCTTTTCAGTGTAATCATCATAGATGGGTTCGACAAGATAAAGCTGGAAGGTTTCAAGTTATGTGCTACACGTTACTCAGGACTGTTATTTGAATTCCCTGACGTTATAATAGGCTGTTTTTCACATCAAAGAAAGAGGAAGTCATGTGTCTGTCAGGGCTTTATATATGGATGTGATGCCTGTTACTGATTGGTTTAAAGTTTTTTCTGATTGACTCGTGCTGCTGGAGGTATAAGGAGAAAAGAAAAGTAATGCAAAATACTCGCCTCCTGTCATTATTAAAATTAAGATTATAGGTACACTACGTTAGCATAATATACAATTTTCCGGAAGCTTTTTCTCACTCACTGCAGAAAGGAGGACGTGTAATATTATGGAACAAGACGTGTTTTACATAAAGTAAAATAGAGAAAAACCATCGGGAAATTATTTTTATCCCGCTGAAACATTGGCTTTCAAACTTCTTCATTATCCATTAAACAACGAGAGGAAAACAGTCCGATACTAACACAGAGCGCTCACTGAATATTGTACGAGGAAACAGTCCGATACTAACACAGAGCGCTCACTGAATATTGTATGAGGAAACAGTCCGATACTAACACAGCGCTCACTGAATATTGTACGAGGAAACAGTCCGATACTAACACAGAGCGCTCACTGAATATTGTACGAGGAAACAGTCCAATACTAACACAGAGCGCTCACTGAATATTGTATGAGGAAACAGTCCGATACTAACACAGAGCGCTCACTGAATATTGTACGAGGAAACAGTCCGATACTAACACAGAGCGCTCACTGAATATTGTACGAGGAAACAGTCCGATACTAACACAGAGCGCTCACTGAATATTGTACGAGGAAACAGTCCGATACTAACACAGAGCGCTCACTGAATATTGTACGAGGAAACAGTCCGATACTAACACAGAGCACTCACTGAATATTGTACGAGGAAACAGTCCGATACTAACACAGCGCTCACTGAATATTGTACGAGGAAACAGTCCAATACTAACACAGAGCGCTCACTGAATATTGTACGAGGAAACAGTCCGATACTAACACAGAGCGCTCACTGAATATTGTACGAGGAAACAGTCCGATACTAACACAGAGCGCTCACTGAATATTGTACGAGGAAACAGTCCGATACTAACACAGCGCTCACTGAATATTGTACGAGGAAACAGTCCGATACTAACACAGAGCACTCACTGAATATTGTACGAGGAAACAGTCCGATACTAACACAGCGCTCACTGAATATTGTACGAGGAAACAGTCCGATACTAACACAGCGCTCACTGAATATTGTACGAGGAAACAGTCCGATACTAACACAGCGCTCACTGAATATTGTACGAGGAAACAGTCCAATACTAACAGAGCGCTCACTGAATATTGTACGCGGAAACAGTCCAATACTAACACAGAGCGCTCACTGAATATTGTACGAGGAAACAGTCCGATACTAACACAGAGCGCTCACTGAATATTGTAATAAATATTGAGAAATGGCCAGAACATCAATGTCCTAGTGTCTATAGGAACAGAGTAGGGGGTAACCCTCAATAATTGCAGAACAAAGGAGAAAAGAAAGAGGAATCTGTTCCTAATGCAGATATCGGATACACACAAACTGTTAAAAATCTAGAAGATACTTTATTTATAAATAGAAAACATAAACCTGAAAAACCCCAGCTATGGCTGCCTGACTAGAGAAAAGTAAATTACGGCAGCCAAAACAAAGAGCATGCAGAAAAATAAAAAAAGATAAGTAAAAAGAAAAGTGAAATTAGATGGAAAGGATAATAGAAAGAGTTTTAACAATGGATAAATGATAGTATCTATAGGTAAGGGAATAGATACAAAACGTGGGAGCCCCCAAAGCTGACAATTCATTCAGTGTAATGATTTTTACATATCACAGATAAAATATAATACAAAACGTTGGTACAATACAACTGCAGGGGAATCTGTTGCAATCAGTATGAACTGAAACTAAGTATATTAATCTCTGTGTGTCAACAAAAAGATACAAAACAGGGGAACCCACTGAAAGGAGTTAATATAGATTAGGGGGTGCGTAGATTAGACATTATTGCGATTATCGGGTTAGATATTTTGTGTGTCCCCAGCAACCCTCTTCCTTCCCATGAGAACGGACATATATCTTTGGATTGATTCATTACTTGGGACTCCGAGGGGCTATGATAGTTTGGGATACTAGCCGTGTATATAGATTAGATCGATCAGGATATCGTTAGCTATTAATGCCTTCCTATTTGCAGTATTTTTCTATTGTCTATTTGGTTACTTACCAACATCAGCACTCTGGTTTCTTTACCATCTATCCTATACTTGGTGCCCTCGAAGGCACCATTCCGATCTCCCTTCATTTGGTGTATAATTCATCATGGATAATTAGTCATTTCATTTAGGTTACCAGGCGTATTCCAGATACTGTTGCCTTTTCACCTTTTTGATTAACTTTATTTACTCATTACTCTCGTAACACCAATTGGATATGCTGATGTGATTTATATGCATTTTTAATTAGATTCGATTTTGTTCTTATATTAGAACTTTTGGAAATACTATCACTGCATTCACTCCTTTTATTATTAGAGAGAGTTTATAGTGGTAGAATCTCCTGTACTTTAACGGCATTGACTCTGTACAGTGATTCCTTTGTCTTTATACACAGTGACTATTATACTAAACAGGAGTATTTAACTCCTTTCAGTGGGTTCCCCTGTTCTGTATCTTTTTGTTGACACACAGAGATTAATATACTTAGTTTCAGTTCACACTGATTGCAACAGATTCCCCTGCAGTTGTATTGTACTGACATTTTGTAGATGTTCAAGATTTTTAACCGTTTGTGTGTATCTGATATCGGCATTAGGAACAGATCCCTTTTTCTTTTCTCCTCACTGCATATTGTACGAGAAAACAGTCCAATACTAACACAGCGCTCACTGAATATTGTACGAGGAAACAGTCCAATATTAACACAGAGCGCTCACTGAATATTGTACGATTAAACAGTCCAATACTAACACAGAGCGCTCACTGAATATTGTACAAGAAAACAGTCCAATACTAACACAGAGCGCTCACTGAATATTGTACGAGAAAACAGTCCAATACTAACACAGCGCTCACTGAATATTGTACGAGGAAACAGTCCAATACTAACACAGAGCGCTCACTGAATATTGTACGATTAAACAGTCCAATACTAACACAGAGCGCTCACTGAATATTGTACGAGAAAACAGTCCAATACTAATAGAGCGCTCACTGAATATTGTACGAGGAAACAGTCCAATACTAACACAGAGCGCTCACTGAATATTGTACGCGGAAACAGTCCAATACTAACAGAGCGCTCACTGAATATTGTACGAGGAAACAGTCCAATACTAACAGAGCGCTCACTGAATATTGTACGAGAAAACAGTCCAATACTAACACAGCGTTCACTGAATATTGTACGAGAAAACAGTCCAATACTAACACAGAGCGCTCACTGAATATTGTACGAGGAAACAGTCCAATACTAACAGAGCGCTCACTGAATATTGTACGAGAAAACAGTCCAATACTAACAGAGCTCTCACTGAATATTGTACGAGGAAACAGTCCAATACTAACACAGCGCTCACTGAATATTGTACGAGGAAACAGTCCAATACTAACAGAGCGCTCATGAATATTGTACGAGGAAACAGTCCAATACTAACAGAGCTCTCACTGAATATTGTACGAGGAAACAGTCCAATACTAACACAGCGCTCACTGAATATTGTACGAGAAAACAGTCCAATACTAACACAGCGCTCACTGAATACTGTATGAGGAAACAGTCCAATACTAACACAGAGCGCTCACTGAATATTGTACGAGAAAACAATCCAATACTAACACAGAGCGCTCATTGAATATTGTACGAGGAAACAGTCCAATACTAACAGAGCGCTCACTGAATATTATACGAGAAAACAGTCCAATACCAGCACAGTGCTTACTGAATATTGTACAAGGAAACAATCCAATACTAACACAGCGCTCACTGAATATTGTACGAGAAAACAGTCCAATACTAACACAGAGCGCTCACTGAATATTGTACGAGGAAACAGTCCAATACTAACACAGAGCGCTCACTGAATATTGTACGAGGAAACAGTCCAATACTAACACAGAGCGCTCACTGAATATTGTACGAGGACAGTCCAATACCAGCACAGCGCTTACTGAATATTGTACGAGGAAACAGTCAATACTAACACAGCGCTCGCACTGAATATTATGCGTGAAAACAGTCAATGCAACACCGGCGCTCACACTGAATGATATGCGAAAAACAGTCAATACTAACACAGCGCTCACTGAATTATTATGCGAGAAACAGTCCCGATACCAACACAAACTCACTGAATGTATGCGAAACGGTCCAATACCCAACACAGAGCACTCACTGAATATTTAATGAGACGGTCAATACCAGCGGCGCTTACACAAGACCCAATGCGCGAAACAGTCCGATACTAACACAGCGCTCACTGAATATTGTACGAGGAAACAGTCCAATACTAACACAGCGCTCACTGAATATTGTACGAGAAAACAGTCCAATACTAACACAGCGCTCACTGAATATTGTACGAGGAAACAGTCCGATACTAACACAGCGCTCACTGAATATTGTACGAGGAAACAGTCCAATACTAACACAGAGCGCTCACTGAATATTGTACGAGGAAACAGTCCAATACTAACACAGAGCGCTCACTGAATATTGTACGAGGAAACAGTCCAATACTAACACAGAGCGCTCACTGAATATTGTACGAGGAAACAGTCCAATACTAACACAGAGCGCTCACTGAATATTGTACGAGGAAACAGTCCAATACTAACAGAGCGCTCACTGAATATTGTACGAGAAAACAGTCCAATACTAACAGAGCGCTCACTGAATATTGTACGAGGAAACAGTCCAATACTAACACAGTGCTCACTGATTATTGTACGAGGAAACAGTCCAATACTAACAGAGCGCTCACTGAATATTGTACGAGAAAACACACAGCAATATTTGATAACATTTCACTGTGAATAAAGAAAATTTTATCTGTGCAGACACAAGTTCAATTTACTTGTATTATTTGAATTTACCAATAATGTAAATATTGCGTAAATATACAGCGTTGGGCTACAGAACTAATCCCTTTTTCATGCTGAATAACTTTTGAACTACAATATATCCTAAATAGGCTATCTTTAGATAGAATTTTTATTCAAAATCATTTTAGTAAAAGAAATCAGATTTAAAAAATGTAAATAAAAAAAAATCTGATTTTTTTTTCTAACCTGATTTATGCTATTACCTGTACCTAAACAAGCAAATGTCATGCACACACCAAGTATTAACGTCAATCAATAGAACTGGGAAACTGGGAACCATGTTGCAGCTGGCGAGAATTTTAACACATACTCATCAATTTAAACGTCGGTTAACCAGGAGACAAAGCAAAACTACAGCTTAAAGGCTACACCCGCAATAATGAGTGGTATGGCTCCAGGACAGTCCGGGGTGCGAGACTGCTTGAAAATGAAATAAAATCAGGGGCCATTTTTGACGATTGGGTCGATTCTCGCAGTATTGAGATATATATAATGGTATGTGCACTGTCTACATTCCAAGCATGTCTAGCTCTGCATCTTTAAAAATAACACCCCCTGCCGATCGATATGACAGTACCCAATTACCAGCTAGGGATCGAGAGATGTTTATTTTTTAGAGCCGATTCCGATAATCTGTTAACTTTCAGGCCGATAGCTTACCGATATTCTGTACATTTACCATTTTGAAAAAAATAAACTAATTCTAAAGGTAAATGCACAAAATATACATGTCACGTGTAGTGGATGCAGTGTGTTTAGACAGGGGAGCTGTGTGTTTGTGTAGTGTGTATAGTGAATGCAGTGAGTGTTTGTGTAGTGTGTATATAATGAATGCAGTGAGTGTTTTTGTAGTGTGTGTGTGTATATAATGAATGCAGAGTGTGTGTGTGTGTGTGTGTAGTGTATATATATAGTGAATGCAGAGTGTGTTTGTGTAGTGTGTGTGGCAAACCTAGCCACTTCTGGACACTTAGGGTGAATATTTTGTTAACTGTTGCTATGCTCATTTTATATGCATTGTGTAGCATTCATCTGAATATTATATCAGTTATGTTTTTATTTTTTATGTAAAACTGTATATTTTGCTGTATGGAGAGAAAATGTGACTAACTGTACATTCTTGCACAATTATCTCTCCTGTACAGCAAGGCATGCTGGGAAACAGCCTTGCAGGCTAAGTTCCCCACACAGTCCTCTGTAGTAAAACCCCTGCAATGTCATTCAGGAAACCCCTTGCATGGGGACTTGCATAAATACTGTGACCGTGGAATAAAATGACAGTTGAATCCCAGACTATGTGTCGTCTAGTCCTTTGGGAAGAGGGATTATTATTACGCTGCCTGTGTTTTACCTGCTTTATCCTGACTACCCGCGGAGATACCGTGGATTATACTGCTACTCTGCTGCAATTGGTGGCAGCAGTGGGATCCAACCTTACAGCCGAAAAGCGGTGTTCGGGTAATTGAAACTACCGAACAGGAAAGTGAATGGCAAATCGGATACAACAAGGAACCGAACACGGAGGTAAATGGAGACAGACTACACTGCATTGAAACGGCAGACGTTAAAGGAACTATTGGAAGCCAGGGGTAAGATAGTCAGCAATAAGCCAAATTTGCTGATTGCTGAATTGATGGAGGGAGACAGAGCTCGCAGCGTTACACCCCGACTAGCCATGGAAGAAACTCCCTTCCAAAAGGAAATGAGGACCAGGATGGAATTTTTACCCCAGCCAGTACCACTGGAAATACTGACTGTACTGATGGCGGATGTGCAGGAGTATGTGATGGCACACGGACCGCAGGATGCTCCTCCCAGAGCAGAGTCTATTACTGCTTCAGTCGTCAGCCAGGTAAAGCCTAAGATCCCATACCATGCGTTTAAAATGTTCTGTGAAGAGAAAGACGAGATTGATGGGTATCTTCAAGACTTTGAGAAGCTATGTGACTTGCATGATTTGGAGCAGGCAGTGTGGGTACCTTTACTGGCAGGCAAACAGTCAGGTCGGGCAGCCGAAGCCTATCGGGCTGTACCCAGGGACGCCAGTAAAGATTATGCCCGGGTAAGACAGGCTATACCAAAGATACGCCATTACCCCAGAGGCATACCGGCGCAAGTTTCGAGGGCTGTGCAAACCAGAGAAAGATTCCCACACAGAGTGGGCCCACAAACAGGACCAAGCCTCCCAGCCAGTCAAGCAACCACCATGGAGGAGTTACGGCAATTGCTGCTGTTAGAACAGTTTTTCAATGGCCTGTCCCCAGAGGCACAGGAATGGGTGAGAGATAGAAAACCCCTCACCCTAACAGAAGCTGCAAGATTAGCAGACCAGCACTATGACGTCAGGAGGTATCACGGTAACCTCAACCGAAGGTACCCTCGACCCACCGCTCAACCTCATATAGCTACCCCTACTGCACCTACAGCGAACCCATTCCGGCCAGCCCCGGGGGGGCACACTCCACCATCCAGGTATAATGGCAGAGCGAATATACAGTGCCATACGTGCAAACAATGGGGCCACATGGTGAGAGAGTGTATCCAGAACCGGAGCCGCCAAGCATGGAGCCAGGTACGGCAGAATCCAGCACCAAGAGCAGCCGCCCACCACTACCAAGCGGAGCCAGCAACCCAGGAGATATCAGACCGAAGAGCCCCTGGAGATACTACACGATGTGATGTCGGTACAAGCCACAGACAACAGGCAACGCCGGTCAGCTTATGGATCTACCGCTCCTCTTCCAGCAGTGACCACTTCGGCCCATCCACGACCAGGGGTAAGCAACAACTCGTACCCTCCCAGGTACAAAACACTACCGCCAACCCGCTGCTATACCTGCAACCAGCAAGGTCATATTCAAAGAGATTGCCGACGGAACAGGAACCGACCAACCTGGCATAACCAGGGGTCACCACCCCATAACCGAGCTGCGGTACACTGTAACCAAAAAGAACCCTTTGTCCCCCACACGACAGCCACATCCGTAGAAGAACCCCGGGAACCCTGCACGAAGTGAACCCCATACAAGCCGTTATAGAGGATACAAGTTCCCACTGCCAAGGTACATTTGGATTGGGGAGCAGGGCATGGGAATGTGGAGGTGGGGATTATGCAGGATTTGCCAGCTGATGTGATCTTGGGCAACGACTTGGGGGGGCTCACATCCGCCTTTGTTCCCCAACCCACCGTCCAAGAAGCATACCCTGTTGTTACTCGACAGCAGGCCCACACCACGGCTCCATCCGATCACTCTGAGGCACAGGTAGGCAATCTGCCCCACACCCCTCCAGTTCTCCCCTGGGATGCCCCCTTAGAATTTGGCAGCCTGGTAGCCCTAGATCCTTCCCTGCAGGTATATAAAGATCGTATAGACAAGAATCAGGCAGTGCCAAACCGTGGGGCAGTGAACATCGTAACCATGTCTGACTGGGAGGAAGAGTGTGAGCTTTGGGTACCACCTCCCATTAGCAGGCCGCGATCCTACAGACAGACAGGGAGCAGGCAATGGAAGATGTTGGGGCGGAGGGCAGGGCCGAGGTGGCAGAGGAAGGATCCTGGAAGAATGGCGATCAGCCCAGGAACAGAGAGTCCTGGAAGCAAGGGGGCAGCACGCCACTGTGTTTCCGTCTGGACAGCTCACTGGTCGGCATGGTCATAGGACGTGGAGGAGCTAAAATAAAGGAACTCGAAGAGTTATCTGGTGCAAGGATAAAAATTGTAAATGATAGCTATGACTCTGAGGTCAAATTATTTGGCACAAGGGATCAGCAAGATAAAGCAAAGGAACTGATAAATGATCTTGTCAAAAGTTCAAGAAAAGAAGCGGTTTATGAGTACAGCGAAATCCCTGATTCCCCAGAGAGCAGCACTCCTCCACGTGTGACAGAGAAGCAGTTTGTTCAAATTGACTGGGCTTCTGCTAATAAACAAGCAGCAATATATGAAGTCCTAAAGTGGAGAAAAGAAAATAACATATTGTGCAATGATTTAAAAGAAAATGGACAGTGATCCATTCCCAATCCCGTTTTGAAACTGAAGCACCTGTACCGCGGTCTACACGGCTCCACTCAACCACGCTACACTGAGCGATTGGTAGGGGGGACCGATGTGCGCTTCCTTCCTGCCGGTCACTTGATTCATGCGCCCCTAGAGCCGGTGCGCCCTAGGACAGCCACCTGTGTCGCCTTATGGAAGCGCTGCATGCACTGGGCCTCCGCTGCTTCTCACATTATCAGCAATCGGTATCAATAGTGGCAGATACCGATATTTGCCAAAATCTGGAATATAGGCTGATATCGGCCGAACTGATTATCGGTCTAACCCTACTACCAGCCAACACCACCACACCCTGACTGCAGACTGGAACTGGGTGTGATAGGGATTGCAGCTGAAGGGTTCAGCTGCCCAGCCAACATGCCTCTGCACATTACTCAGCCAGGAATTTATAGCAGAGACACAGCACACAAAGATAATGTCTCACTGCCTGTATGTGCTGAGCACACGAAAAAAAAAAAAAAAAGACGTGACTAACATGTCGTAACTGTGCAACTTCCCCTGTAAAATGCAACCCGGATATTTACTAGGCCCAGAGACCCCATAAAGACAGCACATTCCACCAGGATTACTCCCCTCACATGAGTCAGTCTGGAACAGCGTATCAGAGCACACAAATGGTTTTTAAAAGGCTCCAAAGTAGCCGATAGGCTGCATGCATACACACATGTATTTTTATTATTGCCATTTATATAGTGCCAACAGATTCCGTAGCACTTTACAATATTATATCTGGCAGAGCTGTGTAATACTTAATCTCTACCAATGTCCATAGTATGGAATAAAGCCTGATAGACTCCCATACAGTGAGGGTAATGGGCGTTTGTGACTCTGTAACACGTTTGATTTTAATCTGTTACGTTAATATCGCTGATTACAGCAACTCCAGTATCCTGTATTTCTATGTATTAACCCCTTGCTAGTCCTAGTGCTGGAATAACCAGCGTTGTAGAGGACAACATCTGTTTATAAGTCTGGATTTCCTGATTGTCATTAAACTACTGAACGGAAGAGGGCAGAGTTTGGCATGGTGGGTCACGGGAGCTGCAATGGGGTCTAGTAGCAGCCAGAAAAGGAGGGGGGGGTCCGCTCCAGGTGCACATTGAAAAGTAACCCTGCAACAAATAATCTCCCCTGATGCTTTGCCAGCATTATGGCTCTAGGAGCATTATAGGAGATGTAGTTCGTAACATCTGGAGTGCTGAAAATTGTCCAGCCTCTTTGCGCGGTATGTTGCGGACCACGGTTTTTGGGATAAACACAGCAGATATCAGGCAAACATGAAACTGTGTTAGGTCACACACATCTACACAACGGCCTATAATAACCCGAGGGCTGAGTGTGCAGGGATTATAATAACCCGAGGGCTGGGTGTGCAGGGATTATAATGACCAGAGGGTTGAGTGTGCAGGGATTATAATGACCCGAGGGCTGAGTGTGCGAGCAATAGATTTCTAAGCTTTGAGTGGGCTCAGCACCATGACATTTCCTTTTTAATGAGAATATTTAGCTTTACGTCTGCAGGGATTATAATAGGGTTAACATCTGCCCCTCAGAATTGTGAAAATATCTGTCTAACCCGGTCATGAAGGGGTCAACGACGCTGGTTCTGTTGTATAAGAGGGAGTCTGATGTTTATCAATGGTATTGCTACAAAAAGGATAAGGAATTGGCACTCATTGTACCCAAATGCACACTCACGGCAACCCAAACATGCACTCACACTCACGGCAACCCAAACGTGCACTCACACTCACGGCAACCCAAACGTGCACTCACACTCACGGCAACCCAAACGTGCACTCACATCCTACGCCAACGTGCACTCACATTCACGCCCTACCCCAACGTGCACTCACATAACTGCTGGATGGGGACCATGTCCTCACCCTGTTGGCACAGTGACTGAGGGTGAAGGCGAGGTAAATGACAGGGAACCGTAAGCAGAGTTTCTAGAAAGCATCCCACACTAGGTAATGGAAACTAATGGGTCACTACAGGAACGCTCCTCCGCCTCCTCCTGGAATGAAAGAATGGCTCACACAGAGATTATATATGTTTTAAACAAGCCATCCCACAATCCTTTGCTCCACACCCTCTTGAGCATTAATGATCCTAAACGTGGCGTTTAGGCTACGGACAAAGAGGGTCTTTTATATTTAATTTGGAGCAGTGAATGAACAGGGGAAGTGCAGACTCCAGTTACCAGCACACAGAGAAGCAGTAATCAAATGATGGAGGAGCTGAGGAAAGGGCAGCAAGGAGGAGGGGAAACAGGGACGTGTAGGAATACACAGAGACAGCGCAGAGTGCAGAGAGACAGGAATACACCGAGACAGCTGGGGCAAGAGAGACAGCGCAGAGTGCAGGGAGACAGGAACACACAGAGACAGAGAGAGAGGACTACACAGAGACAGTGCAGAGAGACAGGAATACACCGAGACAGCTGGGGCAAGAGAGACAGCGCAGAGTGCAGGGAGACCGAGAGAGAGAGGAATACACAGAGACAGCTGGAGCAAGAGTGACAGCGCAGAGTGCAGGGAGACCGAGAGAGAGAGGAATACACAGAGACAGCTGGAGCAAGAGTGACAGCGCAGATGGCAGGGAGACAGAGAGATAGGAATACACAGAGAGAGAGAGAGAGAGAGAGGAATACACAGAGACAACACAGAGTAGAGGTAGAGAGAGAGAGAGAGAGACACACACACAGAGCACAGGGTAGTAAATTATAGAAGGACAGAGAGAGCATAGTGCAGGGAGATTATTGACAGAACCTAAGGTGGATGTTGGGAGAGAGTGAGACATATAGAGACAGAGTAAGATTTAGAGAGATTGCACGGAACTTGGAGAGAGCAAAGCCAGATATCCTGATTGAGGACAGGAGTAATGAATGGCCAGGAGGTGGGACGGGAGTACCATGGGCTGAGTGATGACTCCTGCAGCTGTGCAGGAAACAGACTGACAAACACGCTGGAGTTTTTCCAAGGAAATTTCTGGTGAAGAAAATATTCCAGGGAAACTGAACGGGTATGGACACAGCAGGAAAAAAAGGCAATCCAATATTTACAGAATATTCTGGATCATCTACCCAGCTCTTCAGATAGTATCCCTGGGCCCCAATCCCCCTTACATACCTTTCAAACTATTAAAGTTATTCTCCAGTTATAATAGAAATTCCTCTGCTCTCCTATTTTACTTGTTTATTTGTTCTTTAAGGGTTTATATGTCTTTTTCTCATCCCCTAGAATCATCACTGACGGAATTCACCCCAAAAGGCTACACATCCATCTAGGGTAGACTGCTCTCAGTCATGTAATGTTATACATTAAAAACAACATTCTGAACATCTACACAGCCCCTCGTTCTATAACAGACCCTTCCCAGCAACTACACAGCCCCTCATTCTATAACAGAACCTTCCCAGCAACTACACAGCCCCTCATTCTATAACAGACCCTTCCCAGCAACTACACAGCCCCTCATTCTATAACAGACCCTTCCCAGCATCTACACAGCCCCTCGTTCTATAACAGACCCTTCCCAGCAACTACACAGCCCCTCAATAACAGACCCTTCCCAGCAACTACACAGCCCCTCATTCTATAACAGACCCTTCCCAGCAACTACACAGCCCCTCATTCTATAACAGACCCTTCCCAGCATCTACACAGCCCCTCGTTCTATAACAGACCCTTCCCAGCAACTACACAGCCCCTCATTCTATAACAGACCCTTCCCAGCAACTACACAGCCCCTCGTTCTATAACAGACCCTTCCCAGCAACTACACAGCCCCTCATAACAGCACCCTTTCTATAACAGACCCTTCCCAGCAACTACACAGCCCCTCATTCTATAACAGACCCTTCCCAGCATCTACACAGCCCCTCGTTCTATAACAGACCCTTCCCAGCAACTACACAGCCCCTCATTCTATAACAGACCCTTCCCAGCATCTACACAGCCCCTCATTCTATAACAGACCCTTTCCAGCATCTACACAGCCCCTCATTCTATAACAGACCCTTCCCAGCATCTACACAGCCCCTCATTCTATAACAGACCCTTCCCAGCATCTACACAGCCCCTCATTCTATAACAGACCCTTCCCAGCATCTACACAGCCCCTCATTCTATAACAGACCCTTTCCAGCATCTACACAGCCCCTCATTCTATAACAGACCCTTTCCAGCATCTACACAGCCCCTCATTCTATAACAGACCCTTTCCAGCATCTACACAGCCCCTCATTCTATAACAGACCCTTTCCAGCATCTACACAGCCCCTCATTCTATAACAGACCCTTCCCAGCATCTACACAGCCCCTCATTCTATAACAGACCCTTCCCAGCATCTATACAGCCCCTCATTCTATAACAGACACTTCCCAGCATCTACACAGCCCCTCATTCTATAATAGACCCTTTCCAACATCTACACAGACCCTCATTCTATAATAGACCCTTCCCAACATCTACACAGCCCTCATTCTATAACAGATCCTTCCCAGCATCTACACACCTTGCGTTCTCCAACAGATCATTCCCAGCAACTACACAGCCCCCATTCTATAACAGATCAATCCCAGCATCTAGGACAGCCCTCATTCTCTAAAACAGATCATTCCAATATCTATACACCCCTCATTCTATAACAGATCATTCCCAGCTTTGCTTTGGATTGCTGTATTCAAGCATGGAGTGTTAAGGATTGGCCAGTGAAGTGTGCACGAATGGCTAATTATGTGCATGGATGTGCTAGAGTGTCTAGCTTGGCACACGAGAGAGCCTGAGGTGCTATGCTAGTGAGTGTGTTCAATTAAAAAACAGTGACTTAGGGGAAGTAATTCAATAGGTGTTATTCCCCACCGGCGCATGCCTCACAAATCAGAACTTCTGAATTCCGCCATTCACTCCAGAAGAAACACAGGTCCAATGACCGTGTACAGAGTCTGTCCACGTTATAGTAATAGATAAGTATGTGGGCAGGTCACATTATTAGTTTCCTCCAGTTTACACTTACACTTTCAATATTTGATTTAGGGATCATCTCAAGAAGAAGTAAACTTTGCTAATTATTTGTCTAACTCAGCAATAAGGACAAACTGTGTCACCGTAATCCAGAGCAAACGTCCGGATTCTATACCACTTCCCAGGAACCACTAACTTGCCACACTTCGTGAAAACTTGGCAGTTAGAGAAAGCATGTATAGGGAAACAAGAGTTTAACATTGTGTATGAAGACAACAGATTCACCAACAATTCCTCACAGTCTGGACCCTGACCGTAAGGAACTGAAAGGACACAGAACGCAAGATTCTAGATTTCCATAAATAAAAATAATAATATAGACACATGCACGCATACATTTTTTCTTTTTTTTAAGTTTATATTCTGTTTTTTAAAGAAAAGTTGCCATGTACTTATGCTTTCACAATTGCAGTGGAAATGTATGAATTATTAGCAAGAAATGAGCGATCAGCAGCTGGTAAACACGAAGGTTGGTGTAAATGACCTTCCTGTGTTCCTGTAAGCCCTGTGATGGAGGGAGGAGGTGACTGTCGAATTCGATGGCCCCAGGGCACAGGACATGCAGGTATGTGGTGAAATATTCAGGCCCTGGGGTAGGGAGACAAAGACAATCACAGAGTGTCACATTACCAGCAAGATCACTGTAGCACTGCTCCAATACCCAGCAAATGTATCTCTGCTGTATAATCCTTGTAGCTGATATCCAAGGCAAAATTCCCCCAGTAACAGGACGACACTCAGTTCTGGGAGTCAACTGATTTTTATTCAGCCACAGTTTCTTAAATGCTATTCCAGGGGCATTCCTCCAATGGAGCTGAGAGGGGACTAGGGACAAGTAAACATTTCACAGACTCCTCCTCTGTGCCGAGAGAAAAATTAATTGAATTATCTCTAAGGTACAGAAAATGTACAATATTTACAAACATCATAAAACACATTTTAATATTTCAGAACTCCACAAAAGTCACATCACCAAATAGCTGGGATCTGAGTGCACACTTTGTCGAGATATCACTCAAGTCCATTCGGTGCTTCGGGAACACCATTTGAGTGAAGTTTTAACTGGTCGGCCACAAGGTAAAGCCCCAAAACCGTTCTAGAGAAAATTAGGCTCGACCGGGTTTCTCACACGAATGCAGACGAAGGCTCCCCCTGGCTGTTCCCTTTGTTCGGTAGTTTAGGTCTCCCAAACGCCGTTTTTATACTGGTTTAGGAAGTTTGATGGACAGCAGTACTCGTTTACCAGGTGTTCGCATGTAGAGTGACCGAAATTAGTTCCAGGTCGTCAACGACCATGTACCGCTGCCCACGATCGAGAGACCAAATGGTCGCCGTTAGTTTGCACATGTGTGTTCGGTGATAAGAACTGCAGCCACATACTTATTAATGTCTATCACAGCACCCCCCCCTCCCCCGTCTGTCATCTCATTATTAATGTCTATCACAGTTGTTGATCCAAAAGAAGGCAAAAAACAGTTTGAAGCACTTCCAATTTTGCAACAAACTAGGAAAAAAATTCCTTCTTGACCCCAGAATGGCAGTCAGATTTATCCTTGGATCAAGAAGGTATTACCCTACGTTGAAAAATTATATCCTTGAATATTCTGTTTTTGCAATTATGCATCTAGTTGCTGTTTGAACATCTGTATGGACTCTGAGAAAACCACTTCTTCAGGCAGATAATTCCACATCCTTATTATTACAGTAAAAAAATAACATTTTCTTTGCCTTAGACTAAATCTTCTTTCTTCCACTCTAAACGCAAGACCTCGTGTCCTATGTAAAATCCAATTTGTGAATAGATTTCACAATGGTTTGTATTGACTCCGAATATATTTGTATAATGTTATCATATCCTCTCTCAAGCAATGTTTATCTAAATTAAAGAGGTTTAAATTTGTTAACCTTTCTTCATAGCTGATATGTTCTATTCCTTTTATTAATTTTGTAGCCCGCTTGCACTTTTTCTAGTGCCATAATATCCTTCTTTAAAACCAGGTACCCAAAAGTGCACAGCATAATCAATATGTGGTCTTACCAGTGATTTATAAACAGGCAAAATGAAATTCTCATCACGAGAATAAATGCCCTTTTTTATGAATGACAATACCTTACTGGCCTTGGCCACTGCTGATTGACATTGCACATTATTGCATAGTTTCTTGTCTATAACAATTCCCAGGTCCTTTTCGTGTGTGTTGTTATCCCTAATTCACTTCCATTAAGGGTATACGTTGCTTGTGCATGCTACGCAGATGTGCATAACTTTGCATTTTTTAACATTAAATTTAATCTGCCATCATTAATGTCTATCACAGCCCCCCAGTCTGTTACCTCATTATTAATGTCTATCACAGCCCCCCCAGTCTGTTACCTCATTATTAAAGTCTATCACAGCCCCCCATTTTGTTACCTCATTATTAATGTCTATCACAGCCCTCCCTTGTCTGTTACCTCATTATTAATGTCTATCACAGCCCCCCAGTCTGTTACCTCATTATTAAAGTCTATCACAACCCCCATTTTGTTACCTCATTATTAATGTCTATCACAGCCCCCCCAGTCTGTTACCTCATTATTATCTATCACAGCCCCCCCTAGTCTGTTACCTCATTATTAATGTCTGTCACAGCCCC